ATATATATATATATATATATATATATATATATATATATATATATATATATAAATATATATATATATATATATATATATGTATGTATGTATGTATATATAAATATATATATATATATATATATATATATATATATATATATATATATATATATATATATATATATATATATATATATATATATATATATATATATATATGATAGAGGGGTGTCTTACTCCCCCCCCCCCCCAACACACACACCCTTTCGCCGGCCTTATTTATATATAAACTATAACAATAATAGTTTGTTATTTGTTATTTTAGGTGCCCCAAGAAGTCCAATCGGTCTTGTCACAGAGCACCGCGGAAGTGCATTTAACCAGAAAGTTCACGCCTCCTTCCTTACCGTGATGCGAAATATGTCCAAAGCTCGTTTCGAACCTGGATCTCCTGCTTATAAAGCAAGCGCTCAAGCCATTGCGCCACCGTTGCAAATAATAGTTAGAGGGGAAAGCTAGGATACTTAAGGAAAAAGTTGATTGTACTCATGTACTAACAGAAAACAAAGTGTTGAAAGACTTTTTAAAAGTCTAATCGTTTATTTATTAAATTAGAAATAAAAAAAAATGCTTTTGCATATCTTAATAATATACAAAACATAAAAGAAAAAATGTTAGAAGTCATGTTTCAAAATTGGAGGGTAGAATTAGAGAACATATAGTTTAACCATGATTTTACTTCTTTTTTACCCGTGTGACACAAATATGATATATAATAAAAAAACTATATAATATAAATAAAAAATTATTTATATACATTTATTATATATAGCTATTATATATATAAATATATACAATAAATAGAATTTGTGATGTATTGTCACATCCAAAATGTTTTTTTTTTGTAAAATTTTTGCATAACGTTGAAAATGCAACTAAAACCAAATAATTACAACTAGTTGAATATTAATTAATATTTCATTACATCAAAATGTTTAAGGTACTATACGTAACATTTAAAAGACCCCATCTTAAGTTTGCGATACAAGCATGGTGCTCATAGCTTAAAAGTGATATTATTGCACTTGAAAAAGTTCAACTTTATGCCACTAAATGGATACCCCAGATTTGAAAACAAAGTTATGAAACAAGAATTAAAATACTCGGCTTAACCACACTGGAAAAAAGCCGTAAAAGAGGTGACTTAATTCAAATGTACAAACTATTTAAAAAATAAGTATTGTAGAACTAGATTGAAATATTTTTGCCTCGTATCAGCCCAACACAAGAGACCATAACTTCAAAATCTGAAGAGAAATTGTTAAAAATTGTAATATTCGTTATCAATTCTTACCCAGTAGAGTCTCATCAATGTAGAACAAACTACCAGATTTTATCATCAAAAGTGAAAGTTTGAACTTATTCAAAACTCGCATTGATAAATATCTAGAGATATATGATTTTTAATTTATAATTTAATTTATTTACTTGTATACACAATGTATATTGCTGCCAAAGTGAAATTAATTACGATTAATTTCACTCGTAGTTTTCGAACTTCTACAGCTTTTTATTATATTATATATGGGCAATTTCAATTTTAACTTACATTACACGCGCAACAACTTTATTAAATATTTGTCTATATTTAGCCATTTTGTATGAAAGCTGTTAGTCTAAAGAATAAAATGAGCTAAAAAGTTTTAAGATTGGCCAAAAAAGGGCGAACTTATTACTGAAAATGCCACTCAACTTACGTTACACGGAAAACAATGTAAAGTTTGCCCCCCCCCCCCATCCCTAGGTAAGTGTGCCCCCCCCCTAAAGTTTTAAAGGGTTTTAAAGTGTGTGTGTGTGGGGGGGGGGGCACAACCGTCAATTCTTAAAAAAAGTCAAGTCTTTAAAAAAATTATCTAGAATTTTCTTACTTTTCAAAAAATAAAAAAATTCCTTTATAAAAAACGTGGAAGAGGGGGGGCATTTTACGTACCCCTACCCCCCCCCCCCCTTCCCCCACCGGTGTCGTCGGCCCTGATCAGTAAAGCGGTTTGTATTAGAAACTTTCACAAGATGTTGAGAACTCTATACTAATTTAAAAAACATATAAAAATGTATCAGAGGAGACCGGCTTAGGAAAATAAACTTTTTTTGATATTTGGTATTTAACCTACGTTACATCACTTACATTACCGAACGAATATTTTCAAGAGCAAGAGTTACGTAACAAAAAATTGCCAAAGTGTTGCGAACTCATTCATTGAAAATAATTAACAAACAAAATTTTAAAAACTGGTGGCACTCTTCCTGAGTGATTTATAATAATACATTTGTTAAAGTTTTTAAATCGAAAATAGTTTTTGCGCAAGACCAAGAGCAACTTTAAAAAATTACTTTAGTAATTTATTAAAGTTATTGCCTTTTTCGTAGTGTCTTTTAAATAAGAAAATCTTTGGTTTGTCAAAGTTTTTACTTACACTTCTTTCGTTTATATGCATTGTCTTATTTTCATTAGGTTGAATTAAAAATTCAACCTAATTCTAAAAGAATGCAAAGTATTTACATTTAAAATCTCTTAAAATATTTTTGACGTAAAAACTACTATCACAGTTTAGGAGGAAGAGGGGTATATGTGATCATGGGAAAGTCGTATTTTATGTACGTATCAAGTTCAAAACGCAACTTACGTATTGCGTAATTAAAAAGAATTAAAAAATTCTATTTTTTTTATAAATAAATTTTAACAAATGAATTTGCATAATTAAGACTTCTTCATTTTTAAAAAGAATTTTTTTTTTACAATGAATTTTTTTTACAAAGAACTTTTTTTTCAAAAAGAACTAAAAGTAAAAATTTAACATATTGTCTATACTCTTATATTTCGTTTTTATAATACTTTTTCAATTGAAAATTTTATTCACCCTAATAATCCTCATATCCACACTCTAAATATTGAAAACTTATGGAAGCGAGCAAAAAAAAAGTTTTGCAGACAAAGTGGTACAAGTGAAGATTTGTTTACAAGCTATTTACACGAGTCTGTATGTAGAAATTCCATCAAAAACAAAAATCCAATTTTTAATGAATTCCTTCTACTCGTCATTTCAATATATCGAATTTAAATTTATGTAGAAAGATAAATAATATCTACAATAACGTATTTTCATTAAAAAACATCAATAGAATAAACTTTTTTATTTTGTGTTTTCCGGTGCATAATTATGCATTAATATTTTTTTAAGGGGTTAAGAATTGACAAATATAGGGTGATGTGTTTTATGGATGACTCCCCTTAAATGCATTTACTAACGATTTGTTTTACTAAAACAAAACCAAAAAAAGTTTTTAACTGATTTTTTTTATATTAGGAGAATAGCAAATTATTTCTTCCTTTTTTTTTAATGTTTAAATAAAAATATTAATATAATTCTTTTTTTTATTTATTTATGTATATTTATATGTCAACTAAAATAAGAATACATAAGCAAATAAAAAAAACTTTTAGAAAAAACAAAACTTTGTCATGTTTTTGTTAACTTACGTTACATAAAAATTGCAAAAGTTCTTTTGATATTTTCATGAAATATATATATTTTATAAAGTATAAAATCTGACAAACAACAATTTGAACATTTTAGCACGATTTTTACGCTAAATTAATTCCGATAATGCAAATAAATTCATGGTTAAAATAATATTTTAAGATGATACTTTTTTATCATGCGACGAGAAAAACCCTAACTATTGGAAGCATAAAAATGACTTAAATAAATTAATTTTAGTACAAGAGATATATTTTAAATAAACTTTCATGTGTCTACAGAGATTCCCAAACTTTTTTGTGTCATAGACTTTGTTGCTTTGTTTTCCGGTTTTGGAAAACAAAGCAACAAAGTCTATGACACAAAAAAGCAACATATATATATACAAAGCAACTTACCTGATATTGATTTTTTGTAAGTTTCTAACTATAGTGAAGTTTAGTGTCAAAATGTCAAGTAAAAACACAAGTATAAAAATTTTAATGTCCATTGAATTACAAGTTGGAGAGTGATAACAGTTTAAAAAGACTTAGAAATGAAATGTATTATAAAAAAGTTCGATACTTTTATAATTCTTTTTAAGCTAAGTAACTCAATTTTTAATGAACAAATAATGCGGGTAACAAGTTGAGTTTAGTCAATCAGCCAGTCATGTCTGGTAGTGCATTGAGCATGTCTGCTCTGTCATGATCATTTTGCAATCGTAATTAATTAAATTTAGTCAGTCAGTGGGGGAGTATAATGTAAGTAATTATTATTAATTACTATTAAAATACTATTTTAGATTTTTAAAGTATTGAACTTCCGTAGATTACCAAAAAAATTTAACCAAGTCTCAGTGGAACTCTACTTGAGATAAGAAGCAAACTAAGAACTTTTTCCCGAGGAAATGTATCAACCATTACTTGAGCGCAACCTTCGGCAGCGCTGCAAAGCAGTGAGATTAGACGGTATTCCCCACTGCTTTTTGTATTCAAAATGACCTTAGGTTTTTTTCAGGTAGATGGAAACTTGAATGAACTTGAAAGTTGAATGAAACTTTGTTAAGCATGACATTTCATGACATTACAATTTTTTTTCTAAACTGCAGTATCAGGAGAGAGCCATCGACGCCGGGGGAGGAGAGGAGAGGCACGTGCTACCCCTCCTCCACATACACATTTTTTTTTAAAGTATCTTTTTTTTTTTTTAGAAAATTTTAGATATAGAGGGCTATTTTTTTTGAAATTGACGTTTGTCCCTCTCCACTTCGAAACCCATATTGTCGGCCCTGCAGGTTTCTGTTTTCTCAGAAAAATCGAAGAAGTTTGTAATAAAGACCTTACTTACAACTTTTTTAAAAAAAGAGGCTTTACTTTTAATTGTAGTAGATTGTCCAAAAAAAACTTTAGTCGTTCTATGTACTCCACTCCGCCTACCCTTTAAAAATCAGCGAATAATAATGTCAATTAAAAAAATCGAGCCTTTGGCATGAAGATTACGCGCCGATTTGTTTTAATTCGCCGGGTTAAGGTTTGCTGTAGCTTAATGTTAGTTAGATTTTTTTCTTTAAATTCATTTTTTATCAATTTAAGTGAATTTATCTTTGAATGCAAGTTTAATAAACTTAGCAAATGCGTTTTATGCAATGGCTCAAATGACTGATGTCCTCATAGCGAAAATTGTTCTTGGTAAGAATTAAATTTGAAATGACTGATAAAAATAAATACATTTTTACTGCGTTTAAAAAACTAAACTATTTTACTGTATAAATTGTGGTAGTTTTCAAATATGTTAACAGCAGTGTCAGCAAACATCATAGTTAAATATATCAAATATCAAAATTAGTATAGCAAATGTCAAATTGAAATGCATTAAAAAACCAATGATCTTTTATTCATTTTATGTTTTATTCGTGAAAAAAATTAAGACTGCACAAATTTTTGAACACAAATGATGTAATACAATTAATAAACTATAAATCATTTTATAATAATATAACTTTCATACAAAAATAAGATTTTTCTAAGTTTCAAAATATAAACTGATACCTTAGTTTACTTTCATGCATGAGCCAATACCACACTATCATTTAAAATCAGATTAATATTGGCTTTGTTTGGTTTTGAATGAATGGATTTTTTTAACCATATAAATAATGCATAATAGTAACTTTTTTAGAAGAAATAATTATAGTTTGAATAATTAACTTGATTACAAATAGCTAAAATGCAGTTAAAAATTTCAATTGATTTAAAAATTTATAAAAAAACTTTTCAAAAAAATACCCTCTTAAGTACTTGTGCAGTTTTCTTTGAACTATTTTGTGTATAAACAGCAAGCATTACTACAGTCCTCCTCTCTACCTTTTTTATTGTGTGCTTATGATTAAAGGTGGAATACTTTAGGCATCCCCTTAAAGATGGTAAAAGGTCTTGCACAAAAGCTATTAAAAATTACACTCTAAATTAATTCTAACATTAAGGAAAACTATATTGAAAACTGTACTATAATTCTAACTTTAAGGTTTATTTTTATTGAAAGTGAAACCCTAACCTAAGGTAGTTTGTGGAATCGTTTTAAATAATGTTTGTTTCACATAAATCTTATCCTTTTCTAACTTAAAGTGAGGTGAGTAGAGACTGTAATACACATCCATCTGATAAAAAATTTATTCTGATAAAAAATCATAGAAAAATATATCTGAATGTCATACAAATGTACTCGAATTGAAAGTTAACATTTGAATTGAGTTTTTGACTGAATTTAAAGCTTGTCCTTGTTAAAATCTTTATCTTTTTGCTGTTAAAACTCCTTGATGCTTTGCAACTCCATGAACTTTAATTGGCAAGACTCCAATTGATATTAAAGAGTTGTCTAACTGTTGTTTATTACAAGATTTACCTTTAACAAAAGATATATCACTATCAATTTCACACTCCATTTCATTATCAGAAACTTCATCACAGTTTAACAAAAACTGAATACATGAGCAACAAAATTTCCATACTGGTTTCCAGTCTAGATTTTGGTTTTAAGGTTACAAGCCATATCATGAGATATGGTTGTTTGACCTAAAATAAAATCATTAATTTTTCATAAACATGCTCTGCTTCTAAATTTATATATATTAACTATTCAGGACAACTTCTAAAAAAAAAAAGGAAAAAAAAAAGAGCTACATTGGCATTTTTGTGATTGAGCATGCCCCAGTAAAATTGTGATAAACTTTTAAATTTTAGGTGTTATGTTCGTTTTTAAATTGGATTCATTGGCCCAAAATATGTAAAGGTACAAATTTTCCAACACACATCTAACAGAAACTAGGACCAAAATCATTTTTAAAAATGGCAGATTTTTGTTGGTTGGAGGCAAACTTAATATAGCTGTATCTTAGGAACCGATTGAAATTAGACGATAAAATTTTCAGGATGTTCATAATTTACTAAAATCTATGAGTGGTTAAAAAATCAGCAAAATCTAAGACTTAGGGTTGCATTTTCAAAAAAAATTGGACGTTTTTACAAGGTATTGCTCAAGTACAAGCTCAAAACTCTGATATCATTTCTTATCATTTAAGACTAAGCGCTTTGCAATCAATATTTATTATTACATTTGCTTGTATTTTTATATTACTATGTTGTTTCTTATTGTATTATTTATTATTTTTGATTAAAGCCTAAAATTTGACAAAGAGTTCTATACAAACCTCAAAAGGTTTCTAAAACTGTCAATATAAGTATAAACATGCTGTAGTGGTGTAGTAGTAGTGCAGTTGCTTTATAAACGAGAAGTTCCGAGTTTGATCCCCACCACGTTCCTGGTAGCACTGCGCTTAATTTGCAAAATTTGTGTTTTGGAGTAAAAGAGTTGTGAATTATTTGCCAACAAGATAACTAAGTGTTAATAACCTATGCAAATAGCAAATAATTCGAATGCTTTCTATGATAGTATAAAATATGTAAACTTCAAAAAATTTATTTTTGGATTGTGGTTCTAATTCAAATTTATTTTGAGTTGTTTGAAAAATTATATCTGTTGACAATAGTTTGCTAATAGTTTTCAATATTTTTTATTGTTTATTTGCAAGTGTTTCATTTATTACTTTGTCAGGAAATTATATGAATTAATATATCATAATATTTGATCATAAACTTTAATCCACTTGATTGTTTATTTCTGTTTTAAAGTTTAGTTATGCTTTACTGCAATTCCAGTTTATGCATTAATGCATTTTTTTATTGAAAAAACAAAAGTTTACAATATTTACATTAAAAAATTACCTTTATTATAATATTGCAATAACTTAACTGTATTATGAAAATTAAACTTTTTATATTTTTTTGTTTGTATTTTATATTTCATCCTAAAGAACATATATTTTTTTACCAAAATAATATGAATTAAAATTTTTCTTTATAGACATAGACATCCCAAAACTACATTTCCTTGATAAAGCAAAGCATTGAGACTGTGGAGTTGTTGTTTATTGTTTTTCAAGTCATTTTTAGTGAAATTATTGATTAAGTTATCATTTTTAAATTGGAGGTGTTTGATTAAAAAAAAAATGAATATACAGATATACAGACATTATTAAACTCTTTTTGATTGATGTTTTTTAGGATATTGATTGATGTCTTTTAGGATACTGATTGATGTCTATTAGGATATTGATTGATGTCTATTAGGATATTGATTGATGTCTATTAGGATGTTGACTTTTTGGTATCTCCAGTTTCCTGTATGAAAAATAGATGAACTTTGGTTTGAAAGTAACTGAAAAGTTATAGTTTTTATTTAATTTTTGAAAGAGGTCACCCACGACCCTTGATTTCACACTGGCACCCATATATCAGTGAATTTTTTTTTCTTCAAAAGTATATCAATCTGGGTCTCAAATGAACCAGAATCATAGAGATATCAGAAATGATAATGGTTTAAAATAAAAATGAATAGATTAAATTTTATATACAAATAAACAACAATTTTTAACTAAAAGTTGACAAGGTCATTTTTTAATTGCTATAAAAAAGCAATTAAATACACTTTGTCTGCACTTGATTAAAAAATTTTAGCAACGTGTTTAATTTAAAAATGAACGCACAGATTCGTAATTGTTTTTTGAAAATATTGAATGTTATTGTAATTTTTTAAGTTTCATAAATCCTAAAAGGATTAAACTTATAATATTATCTTTATAATTTTTAAGTTGTTTGTTTTTGTTATCAGTTGTTAGTCAAAACTTTAATTGATGAATTCTTGTGATATAAAAAATAGGGTTGATAGAACCCTATAATTCTTGTGCAATGAGATAATAATTTTATTTTTATTTAGTTCTTTATTTTTGATCATTTGGAATTTTCAAATGTTGCTCTTCATTTTTATTAGGTTACTTAACTAGTCAGAAACTTTCTAAAACTATTGATTCTTTTCTTGGTGAAAGCGAGTTCCTTAATACCACCAATATAGACAACAACAAAGAAAGGATTTTAAATCAGCTTGAGGTATAATTTATTAGATATTAATAATACTTATAAAAAGTAAATGTTTATGTCAATACATTTTAATACTAACATTACAATAAGTTTAAGGAAACATGACATTTAATATAGGCATATGCAAGTCATGGCATTTAATATAGGCATATGCAACTCATAGTATCTAATATAGACATGCAAGTCATGACATTTAATATAGGCATATGCAAGTCATGGCTTTTAATATAGACATTTAAGTTATAGCTTTAATAAAGACATAATTATTGGATATGTCTTTTTAATATAGACATATCTACAATTGTTATTCAATTTTCATACCATTATACTTTGATTTGTCGAGCTTAAAGCTTTGTTTTCAAACATTAAGTTCTACAGTTTTATGTGCTAAGTTTACAATAGCTAAATGCTATATGCTAATAATGAAAATTAAAATTGATTAAGAATGTATTTCATGTGATGTTTATGTTATGCTAAGTTTGTTTATAAAATGCTAAGTTAGTTTAGTATTGTATTTTTAAATTGTTTAAAGCATTTTTAGTTTTTTTAAACCTTGATTAACGGAAGTGAACTATTCAAGTTAAACAATATTTTTTATTAAATAACAGATACTAATAAAAATATATAATGTTCTTTTCCAATTTTTCTAAATTGACATTTATTATTCATAAGACAAGTTTTTTTCAGTAACTATTAAAATACAATTAGACTGCTCAATAAAATAATTTTTGTAAGTGATAAAACTAATTATCATTTGATATTGATTTTGGTTTAATAGTTATTTTTGTGTTCAATTTTCATTTACCTAAGTTTGATAACACAAAATTAATTTTACAGTGAATAAGTTTAATGACCAAAAATTGTTATTTATTATTTTTTGCTTTATCTTTTTTTTTTTTAAATCTGGTTATTAAGGTGTTTCAAAAAGTCTTTACAATTAACTTGCAGCACAGTGAAAAAGCATTTAACTAGGAAAAAATCCAAATCTGCCTCTGTAAATTATAGTGTTATTACATTTTAAGAAAACTTTTATTTATCAAAAGTTTAAGTGTTTTCTTTATTGTAAAAGTTTATTTTTATTTATTTCTTAAATTAAAGCAATTTTTATTGGAAAAGTCTCAGTTTAATATCACTTTTTGAAGGCATAGGTTTCACTATGTTCAAAGTTCTACTTTTGAATATTCTTTAAGTATAATTAATTTTACTTTTTAATTTTTTAATTCTACTTGATTATTATTAATTCACTTGATTACAATGTCTCCTAACTTTTTTTAAATATTTGATTTTATATATTATCTTTTAATTACGGTTTTTTAATTTTCTCTTTATTTAAAGTTAGAGGATACTCTTTTTTTGTCTAAGATCTAATTTTTTTCCTTTAAGACCTCGTGTCAATGTTTCTTTATATGTAGTTTTTAAACTTGTTAAATTTTTATGTAATTTTATACAAACAATAACGTAGAAATTAAATTTTAAACTTTGAAGTTCTAAAAAGGAAAAAAAAAATTCTTGTATATTAGATAGGTAGATTCATACTCTAAAATTATATTTAGAAAATTTTACACTTTGCTGTTTAAAATATGAATTTTGTCATGCTGCTTTTTCTATTTCAGATATTTAAATGTAAAGTATGAAATACAAGAAATAAATTTTTATTTTCGAGAGAGATATTGAAAAAATATTTTTGCTTTTGTTGAAACAGAAATATTGAACTTACTTTTTAGAGCACTGTTTTGTGTTGGGTGCATTTACTATTATAAAGTTATTATTTTTTTAAATTGTACCCTTTTATTTTGCTCTTTTGTTAAATTTTTGTTTTTCTTTTTTGTATATTTTTAAATTAGCTTTTTGTTTTGTTTTTTCATTAGGATCTAAACCTCCTTCCAAGTCTTGAAGACATATTAAATGATTATTTCGCCTACAACCAAACAAGTAATATTAATTATTATTTGATTTAAATATAATTTTAAAAATATCAGTTAAAACTTTATTGTGATTATTTATTTTCATATTACGATTTAAGACTATTAATATTAGCAATATCTTATCAATTTTCTCTTAGCAGATAAAAACAAAATATTAAATTATATTTTAGTAATATTTTTCATGGTTTAAAAATGACATTTATCATGGCTTTAAAAATGAAGTAAATTAAAATAAGCCTAAAATCAGTTCATGTCAGTTACTTGTTTTAGACTTATTTTTTTGACATAGTGCTCTTTCAGCAGTCCTATCAATACCATAACTAGTTAATTTATTGTGCCTGGTAGCAAAAATAATCACTCGATATTTAAATCAAAGTCTTTACTGTGATAGCAAGGTTGATCAAGTTTTTAAGTTGCACTGTTATCAGAGAAGTACTTTACACATAATAGATTAGATTTTTTTAGCATATCTAGTTTTCTCTTTAAAATACAGCACAAGTGAACATTGACTTTTTTTCCAGTGATAACTTTGAAGCTCATTGTGGACAAATTATTTACAAATTTTAGCAAAATCTCAAATTTAGCACTCATTCTGGTTATTTTTTTTTTATTTTTTTATTTTTTTTACAGTTTTATTAGTATCAAGTATCTATCTAGTTTTAGAATGCAAAACTTTGACAAACTGACCTTATTAAAATTCTTTTAAAATTATCAAGGAAGATAACCTTTCATGAACATGTTAGTTTTTTGTAATACTAACAATATAATTTTTTAGCGGGCATAATTAAAAACTTATCAGTTAAATAAAAGTTAACCACTAATTTGTTTCTGGTGAAATAGGGATTCCAATTTTTTTTCAAGCAAATATAAAATTTATTGCTCATGTTTAACTTATATTGAAGTTTAGGCAACACAATAAAATAATTTAATATTTATGTGTCCATGATTTTTTTTTTATTTCATTCATTAAAATGTCTTCAAAGTTTTATGTTATTGTTCAAAATGATGCTGTTTATTTCTGTTGTTAAAGAAATCTTTTCAATATTATTTTTTAACTGTCTAAAGCAGGGTTGGAAAAAACCCTGGGTTTTTAAAAAAAACCCAATCCAAATGGGTTTTATTAGATTTTATGGGTTTTTTGGGTTTTTTCAAAAACCAATCAAAAATTTTTTTACTGTATGTGTAAAATAATTTTTTTTTAATTTTATAAATTCACATCCCTATTGCTCCGTTGACCAATTTAGTAAAGGGAGCTACTCATTTTTAAAAAATGTTTTGTCTCAATCCTTAACATTACCATTTTTACTAACAAACTACATTAACAATTAATATTTTAAACAAAGGTACTGTGCGGAGAAATAGATTGAGCACAGTAATTTCAGCAGAGGTAATTTGAACCCTAACTTTCTGATTGCAAGCCAAATGTTTCACCACTAATCTATTAGCACATTATATCTATAGTGCAAAAAGGGACTCCATCAACTATAAATGATGTTAATTAATTGCACTAAATTTAAAACATGTTCAGATTATTTTTGACCAAAAAAAATCTGAACATGTTTTTTATGCGCTGTTCATAGTGACCCCTTTTGTTCATAGGAACCCCTTTTCACAGTACATGTTGTAAACTTGTAGCTGATGCAAAATATTCAAAACCTGTAAAATAGACAGATGATCATTTGAGTATTATTTTTTACCAACAAATCTTGTCCTTGTGAACTGTATACAAGTTTTCAACATGTTCTCTCATTGAATGAAACTTGTTTGCACATAACATAATTTTTTTGTGTTTTAAAGTTTGTATGCACTTAAAAAGGACAAGTTTAATAAGGAAAGTTGCCTGACAACTTTCCATTTCTAGACTGTGAATAAAGTTTAACAATTTTTATATATGGTATTTTGCTTGTGACTTTGTACTGAAGTTTACAGTTTACAACATAAACGTTAAAAAATAAAAGATCAAATACCAATATAAAATGACATCTATAGAACGCTTGTTTGGAAATATAGACATTCGAGAAGAGAATAAAGATACTAAATAACTAATTATGTCTTGTACTTTGAAATTTAGTTAATGGAATAGTTTTTATTTCCTTTATAAGTATTTAATAATATAACTAACTTAATGTTTTAATACTTATTTAAATAATATTTATAATAACTTGCTATATGTTTTAAAAAAATTATAAATAACCAATTTGCTACAAAAACAGATTGATTGGTTTTGGATATATTCTAAATACCATTTTGTATATAAATACAGTGTTTAGAAGAGTTATTACAGCATAAAAGTTGCACTTGCTGATAATAGAGCATTTATAAGTGTTAAAATCAGAGTTATCAGTTGTAAAATAGGATATTAAAAAAAAAAACACAAATATATTTTGGGTTTTTTGGCCAACCCTGGTCTAAAGTGTCCTCAAGCTTTTGTTTGATCATGATCTTTATATTTATGTTATTGTTTAAAATGGTGCTATTTATTTCTGTTGTTAAAGAAACTTTTTTCATATTATATGCCTAAAAAAGCATTATTGCAACTCTGTCTTAAGTATTCTCAAACTTTTGTTTTGCTGCAGGCATTTTGCTGTATTTTTTTTTTCCATAAAGTTTTCTGTTTTTTATTTCCAAATAATTTTTGTTTTAACTATAATAAATGCGCCACATTTTTTTACTTTTGTTTTTTCAAAAGAATTATAATGCAGTTGTTTTTCATTAAAATATTTGCAATAAAATTGCTCATGATAACAACACATAATTTTTATTGAACTATATTCTTTTAGATTTTTTTCCACATTATTTCTTTTTGTGTTTACAAGGAAAAACTTTGAGTTGAATAAATGTTTGTTTTCTAGAAAATCTTGTTTTTTTTTGGCAATAAATGTATAAATGTTAAGAATTTTTTCATTCATTCACTTTTCATTATACTTAATTTATCTATTATTTATCTATTTATTTACAGTAGATTTATTTATTTACTAACTAAAAAATAATTACATGAATCATTAAAGTTTTCTATATCTTCAAGAAAAAGAAAAAAAAATTAAGATAATACAAAAAAAGTATAAGTAAAATAAAACAGACTAAAAAAGTAAAATAAATAAAAATAAAAAGTACTTTTGCTTATGCTTAATATATCAGTCTAAACCTAGTTACCAAATAATAAATAAACAAATTTCAATTTTATGTTTCTTATGTTGTTTTTTTAATTGTTAATTAATTTATAAATGTTTATTTAATGAATTTATCTATACTTTTCTGTTTATTGCAAAACTTACCTACATAGGTAATCATTAATTAGTTTGAAATAAATAATAAAAATGAATTCAACTGCAACAAAACTCTTAACTACTAAGTTTGAAATAAAAACAAAACATTAAATTACATTTTAGTAATATTTTTAATTTTTAATAACTAGGGAAAAATGTGCAGAGGACCTCTTTGTTCTTTATCTGCCTCTATGACTATAGGTCTTTAATAATAATAAATATGATATTACTATATGTCACTAAATATTAACTGTATTAATGGTTCAATCAAAAAAATTTAATGCCTTTAGTTCTAAAACTAAACTTTGTTACTGTATTAATGGTAATGAATACAATAATACATAAAATAACTTTCCTTTAAACTTTATACTTTAACTTTCCTAAAATAAAATGGAACAAATATGGTTTTAGTGAATATTTGTCGGAAAATACAATATGAAACATATGAAAACAGTTTTGTTAACAGTTTTGTTAACAGTTTTGAAAACAGTTTTGTTTGTCTTACATATGAAAACAGTTTTGTTACAACGTTAAATAATTGTTTTCTTTTTCAAATGGTTTTTAAACCAACTTTTCAAATAAACAAGATTAAAGAAAACATTTTAGACTTAATTATCACTGATAAAAATAATAAAACATGAGCCTTTATTAGGCGATTCAAATAAAGGCCATGATGTATTAACATATGAACTTATATGAATAACACTCTCCATCTAAATGTTGCTAATAGAAAAATTTTATACAGAAAATCAAATTTTGCAAAAACGTCACGGTTTTATAATGAAGTTGATTGGCAGACATTATTTCTAAAAATTCTAATGAATGTTATAATCTGTTTATAAAAATCTATAATGAGTCAGTTTCAAAACTTGTGTCATCAATAAATGTTCAATCAAAGATTGTTCCATTATGATTAACTAAAGAATTAAAGAAAGAAATTAATTTGAAAAAAAGACTGTGGTTCAAATATTTATCAACAAATAAATCAAACTTTTTAAAGAAACTATATATAATTCCACGTAAAAAGTGTAAAGAACCAATTGATACAGCAGTTTATGAATATGAATCTAATATAGCAAAAAAATCTAAAACAAGTCCTAAACTATTCTATTCTTACGTTAATAAAAATAAATCAGCCAAACAAGAAATGAAATTATTAAGAGATCAGAATGGACAATTGCATGAGGACAAAAGTAAAATATCAAATATTCTGGGTTTACATTTTCATTTTGTGTTCATCCAAGAAAAAATACCTGCTGTGTTACCATATTTTAAACTAAGATCATCTATAAACCTAAATAATGAAGACTTCTCTCCTGTAATAATAGCAAAACACTTAAAAAAATTAAACGAAAATAAATCAATTGGACCTGATAAAATTCATCCATTAATCTTAAAGCAATGCAACGTAGCTCTGTCATATCCACTATCTTTAATTTTCTCAAATAGTTACAGTGATGCAATAGTTCCTGAAGAATGGAAACTAGCGAATGTAACACCGATTTTTAAAAGAGTTAGTAAATTAGATCCATCAAACTATCGGCCAATATCTATTAAGTAAGTTGTTTGTAGAACGTTTGAAAAAATAATTCAAGATAAAATGATGTATCATCTACTAGAAAACAATCTAATAAATAAAAGTCAAGCTGGTTTTGTACCTTCTAAATCATGTATAACTAACTTACTTGAAACAAACGATGAAATAACGAACCATCTAAAAAGTAAGGCTTCAGTAGATGTTGTATTTTTTGACTAAGCAAGATAAGCAAGATAAAAAATTATGGCTTTTCAAAAAAATTGGTTAAATGGCTTCACAGTTTCTTATCTAAAAGAAGACAAAGAGTAATTTTGGGTCAGTATACATCCGAGTGGAGAGAAGTCTTGCGGTGTTTCTCAAGGTTCAGTTTTAGGGCCTCTTCTATTTGTTATATATATTAATGAATTACAAGACACACTAAAATTTCCATTAAGACTATATGCCAATGATAGCAAATTAATTGCTTCAATAATCAACAAATCAGAAAGATCAAAGCTTCAAGATGATATTATATCTATGCAACCTATGGTGTATGTGTTTCAATGAAAAAAAATGTAAAGTTATGCACTTTAGAGTAAAAAATAAAAAATTCAAATATTACATGATGAATATGAATAATAATAATGAATATATAGTACTACAAGAAACAGAAATAGAAAAAAGATCTAGGTCTTATTATTACAAATAAACTAAAATGGCACAATCATGTCATAAAAGCAGCAAATAATGCAAACCAGATTTTGGAAATGGTTAATGATTCTCTAATGATTCCAGATTAAAACTTAATGTTTTTAATCTGGAATCATTAGAGAAAAGAAGGATTTGCGGAGACCTTATACAAATGTATAGAATAGTATATGGCTACAATAAAATCTCATTACAAAAACCAATAAATTTTATAACCAACAGGGTATTAGATGGAAAAAAAAGCAGAAATCACAACTACAGGTTCTCAAGAGAATACACTCCAAAATGTAACGCAAAGCATAACTTTTTCTTAAATCGAGTTTGTAACAATTAGAACAATTTAGATCATGAAACTGTTATGTGAAGACGATAAACTCTTTTAAAATGAAACTGTTAATGTGAAGACGATAAACTCTTTTAAAATGAAACTGTTAATGTGAAGACGATAAACTCTTTTGATGTGAAGACGATAAACTCTTTTAAAAACAATATTGATAAAAGATAAAAGTAAATTTTAACTGTTATAAAATAATCTCTTATGTGATTACTTTCTGTGTAATTTTTACACTACAGTTTTCAATTTGATAATAATAATAATAATAATAATAATAATAAACTGTATATCTGTATTAATAGTTTATTCAAAAAAGATTTCAATGTCTATAGTTCTAAAAGTATCTCCTAAGATTGTTAAGTCAAAAATTCAAAGTAAATATCTGTTGGGGTTCTAAATTTTTCAAAATATTTTAATGTTAATACTTTAAAATAGTTTATAGTACTTTAAAATAGTAAACAACCAAAGATTAGGAAAATCCCCCCCAAAAATTGTCTTTTTTGATTATATTTAAATATAGAATTAGCATTTTTTTTTTAAATGACGTTATCTCAAGAATTAATGTGTTTTTAGTTTTAAATTTTCATAGTTATATTTATTATGGACTGCACATTAAATAAAAATGAACCAATTCAGAGATAAGTAAGAGTGACATCATTCTTTCATTTCACAAGATTTTTATAAGAAATGACCATTCCATTTTTTTAAATATTAAATATTCAAATATTTTCCAAAATGTTTCTCATCCTTCCTCTACTGATCATGTGAAAAACTAAAATGATAGAAGGTACAAAATGTTATATTGAAGGTAGCATTGTCATCCTATAATCATTATCTTTTTATGTTTTTCTTGCATTAGTTCTTAAACTTGAATGTCAATGGAAAGGAACATTAAGTTTATGGTTTTTCTCAGTAATTCTTACCCAGCCACTTAATATTGCCTTTATTTAACTATGAAAGTTTCCTTGTCTGAAGTTGTTGAAAAATATAAAAGATGAACACATTGATAACACCATTTCTATATCGATGTTTGAAAAAAATACTAAAGAAACATATTTTCTGAATATTACTATATATATGCAAGATCAAACGTATTTCTTCTTGGTTTAGAGTTCTACCACTATGAGTTGTTTTTTAAATAGTATTTAACCACTTTGAAATTATTATTTTATAGTTTTTTTGCTATTTTTTTTTCAATAAAAAAAAGTCTACTTGTTACCTAATATATTTTGTTGTCAGTAATATTAATGTTTCATCTTTTCATCAAAGCAATTATTTCTATTTGCTCCACTTCAAAGGTTGAATGAAAAGGTTTTCATAATTTTTTAATTATCGCTAGTTTTTTTTTATTTAAAAACTGTTCGGAATAACCTAGTTTTGCAATATTGCATATATAAGTTTATAGCATAAACAAACATTTAGTATGACATATTTCATGCATGTTTTTACATCAACATTTAGTATGACATATTGCATACATGTTTTTATATCAACATTTTGCAAAAATAAGCAACTATATTAAATTAACATATTACAACACTTTTTAACAAACTTAAATACTTTTTTAGGTGATGTGAAAAGTGAAAAAGTATTTCAATTATGGAGGCAGCTTGATATAGTTCTTGGTCAAATAAGGTAGTAAAAATAATTTTTGATATGTTAGTGCAAAAAATTAAAGTACAACTATGAGTAATTTGAGTTAAGTTTTGAAATTTTTCAAAATTTTTCAATTTAAGTTATTAATCTGTTGGAATATGTTATTATTAATGTTTTTGATTAATTTTCTTTATATTTATGTTGCATTTCTATTTCAGGAGTTTGACACTGGGAAAGAAAAAAAATAGTTTATTTCTTGATAGGAAAAGAAAGGTTGTAAATGGTAATTTTAAAATGATTTAAAATTAATAATAAAAATTATAAAAGTTGTTTGATTGATAAAAATTGATTGAATATATAATTGAGTAATTTTTTTTTTTTTTAACATAATGGCATATTTTAAAAAAAAAATTGTTTTTACCTTTATACACATTTTTTTTTTACTGTTTTCTTGTTTTTATTCATGAGTTTTGGAGTTTAAGTTAAAAAACTCACAGGGTAACATTTTTATAAGTTATTTATTTTGCTTGAAGCCGCAATTTTTTTACTAAAACCTCAAATCCTTTTTTGTCAAAGTTTTATTTAAATTTGCAAATTTTTTTTTTTTTTAGCATGTATTATTTTTATGCCATATATCATTAACTTTTAATTAAAAATTTTAATTGTTAATTTAATCATTTCTTGACATTCAAGGTTACAACAATCATATTCCTAGAAGAAATATTACGAATGTTACAAGTCGTGCTGCTAATGTTCCTGATTGCAGTACAAATGTTTCAAGCTGTGCTACTAATGTTTCTGACTGTTCTACAAATGTTCTTCATTGCAATACAAATGTTCTTGATTGTGTTACTACTATATCTGATCATGTTTCAAATGCTTCTGATTGTGTTACTAATGCAACTGATTATGTTTCGAATGTTTCTCATTGTGCTACAAATGATTCTCATTGTGTTACAAATGTTCTTGAATGTATCACAAATGTTTCGGATTGTGCCCCTTTAAATCAGGTATATAATAGTTACTTTAATTAACATCAGAGTGATGTTGAAAAATAAAAAAACTATATATATATATGTATATATATATATATATATATATATATATATATATATATATATATATATATATATATATATATATATATATATATATATATATATATATATATATATATATATATATATATATATATATATATATATATATATATTAAAGGATGCATCAGATGTACCTCAAAGTCATTGTGAACAAAGTGCTATTGCAAGCAAGGAGATTATTAAGCTCTGTAAAACAAAAAAGTCTCCAAAGCGCAAATCTACTTGCCCCAAAAAACGAGTGCAAGTAGATTCAATATGCAGCTCACACATTTCAAATAATCTGGAAGCTGAATTTGTAGATGCAGAAGAGTTACCTAGCAAAGAGGTTTTGCAAAAAAGGCTTTCGAATGATGTTTGGCAGACTGCTGGAAAGCTAGCACAGAACATCAATATGATTGTTGGTGGGTACGTTTTTTTTACAATTTTTATATGTTTTTAAAGTTTTATTTATGTTTTTAAAATTTTCACACTTTTTTGTCCTTTCTATGTTCATGATTTTTTATAATTTTTTGCTTTTTTCTCACTTTATTTTCTGAGACCACTACATGGGAAATTCTCTGAGACCACTGCATGGGAGTCACTGAATGCTTTTATACTTTTTTTTACTTGAAAGTTTCACTTTATTTTTACTGAAGAATTAGCTTAAATTGAAAAAATATTTCTAGCTATTTTTATTTTCTTAAGAAATTATTAAATATTATTCTCATAAATAGTATACAAAAAATATTACTGCAATTTCATTTGTGATAAAAGTAAAAATATACTACTCTTGCAATGTTGTCTTAAAGTTTTTCCATAATTTGTAGAAAATTTTAAAAACAAAACCAGAACAAAATTTTACTTTTTTTTAAAAAAGATGTCTGTTGAAGCCATTACCCAGGTTAATGTATGTACACTCTTTGCACGTTCACCTATTTAAGTCAATCAATGTATTTGATTGACTTAAATAACTCTGCTGCACTGCCCTTAATAAATCACTTGGTTAAACAAAATAAAAAAGACGCATTGTAAACCCATTGTAAATGTAGTAAACCCACTCTATCTGCTAGGCTTGAGCCTCTTTCCCATCGTTGTGAAGTTGCATTTCTTTCTTTTTTCTATAAATACTATCATGATTGCTGCTCAAAGGAACTATCATCACTAGTTTCATCAATTAAAACTCATTCTCGCTTGACTTTCAGCTAAGTCTCATTTTTTTACTGTATCTGTCCCTGCATGCACTAAAAAATTTTATTGGTTGCTTGCAGTCTTGTTGGGAGTGAAAAAATAAAAATAAAATAAAATAAAATAATAATAAAATATTAAAAAACATTTCGAAAATAACAACAAAAACATTCTGCATTAAAAAAAAAAAATTAAATCAATTAAGTTTGCAGTAATTAAAAAATTTTATTATGATTTGCAATTATTTTAAGGTAACAGATATATATATATATATATATATATATATATATATATATATATATATATATATATATATATATATATATATATATATATATATAAATTTAATTAAAAAATAACAAAAGAAGTTCTTATTTAATTATTATGTAAAACTTAAAATAAAATTGCCGTTATTGGTATAACTATGCCATTGCAAAACTGCGAAAATGTCTCTTGGAATAAACTTCTTGAGAATTGGGATTTTCCAAGCGATTTTAGGGATTTGCTCAACAACTTGCTTCGAAAATTTATTTCTCAAAATTTGCAAATAATTCTTTGGAATACCTTACAACAAAAGCAAATAATATATTAAAAAGTTAGCAAGAAATAAAGTACAATCTAAAAAAAATAACAAAATTGTTTGGTTTAGTACCCGAAAATGCTATTTCTTTACAAGTTTCGTCCTTTTTGGCTGAAAAGAGAAATAACCTATTAAGTCTTAATGCAAACTTTACTTCAAGTAATACATCTGCTTCGTCAACAAAAATCTACAGAAGCCGTTTATGTCAGATACTTTCGAAATTTTGATCAATACAGATATTACAGTAATTCTTTTAGTTATTGTTTTTCTTTTTTTGTTTGGTATTTTATATCAACTAAATTAGGTGATCGCATCAACTAAAATCTTTTTTTAATTATCTATTATTTTATCAACTAACTTTTAAAAGATCAAATCTAAATTATAAGTTAAATACAAAAAAATTTTTATGGTTATAACAAACTGGTACTAAAAATTTTAAAAGAAAATAAATTTCTTTACTTTACTGCTTGCTCTTATTTAAAACATAAATTAAATATGTATATTAAATTGTAAATTAAATTCGTTTAATAACAAAAATGTTTTTTTTATTAAAACAAACTGGTACATTGTTTTAATAAAAAAAAATTTTCATTGAACATAAATTGCTATATTACTTTAAATAATGCCCTTTAATGCCCACCAGTAAAAAATAAATATATATTCCAAAGAATACTCTTAAAATGAAAGCGACAACAATATATTGGGATCACAAATAAATCAAACATATTATTAATAATAATTAATTAATATACACTGATTAATTTATAATATAAAAATATATAATTCTTAATATATCTTTGGAAAACGGAGCTTAATTTACAGTGTTATTGTGAAACCACTTTTAATTTTGTGTTGATTTATATATTTTTTTCTTCTACTCCACTTCAGTGCTACTTACATTGATTGAACAGCAAAAATAAAATACAGTAAGTTACAGACTGTATTTTATTTTTGCTGTTCAATCTATATATATATATATATATATATATATATATATATATATATATATATATATATATATATATATATATATATATATATATATATATATATATATATATATATATATATATATATATATATATATATATATATATATTAAACTATATATACACGTAACTATTTATATATATAAAGTTAAGTTTTTTAAAATAGCAAGATGGATGTCAAGTTTACAAAAATTTAAATTAAAAAGTTGGGTTTATTTTCAAAAAATTGTTAGTTTTTTTGATTTGATTTGTCAATGTTTGAATTGAAGTTAAGACAGTAAAAATCTTTTGTATCTTTTGAAATTCTTGTTTATCTTGTTGACACAATAATAGAATGTATATGAAGTGCGGTCATAGACAAACTTTTCAAAGCATATTCTAGCTAAGCATGAAAACCGTTAGCTTATATTACCAATTATAGTGATTTTGTTTAAACTTTGTTTGCTATTGAAGTTGTACATACTTGGAAAAAAATTATGATTTTAAATAAAAATGATACACTTCTAAATAAAAATGATGTAAGTACGATTAATTTAAGAACATGAAAAAGGGTTTTGTAAATGTAAATTGGGTAAAATATATAATTAAATAAACAAAATGTAATAACATATTTTAAATTTCAATAAATAGTTAGATAAATAAATTAAATATAATCAGTTATCTAAATAGTGTATTACATTTATATTGTAGTTCAGGCCTTGGCGGGAATAAATGAGTACGAGAGCGGAGAAAAGCTCTCCTAAAATGAACTTGGGGAGCTGTGCAAGCTGCTCCTCATTCAAATTGGCACTCTTTTTTAATTCTAATTTTTTTTGCAACAACCGTGCCTTTTAAAAAGCATTTCAGTTTATTATGCAATTAAATTTTTCTAAATGACATTGTATTTTTTATTTTATTTAAAATAATAATTAAACTTTTATGAGAAAAATTATACTTGTGGGAGAGCCGTAAATAGCTCTCGTAAACCGTTATATTTATGCAGAATATGTACTTATACTGTGTATACTTATACAGAAGCATCTTAAATGACTTTGTTTAAGTTTTTTTGTTTTTATTAATCAACATTATTGATGTAGGTTAGTTATGTATGTTGTTTTTCATTGATTTTGATGATCTGTTGTTGTTAAAATCTGTTGTCTCTAAATCCCATTATAAAAATTCATTCTAGTAAGTAAAAAAAAAATTTTATATATACTTTTTTTATTTTTTAAATTTATTAGAGATCTGAACACCCTGCATTTAAACAGTTCACGTAAGGTAATGATTCCTTTTTGTGTCTGTAAATTTTATTTTAATCTTAATAAAATTATTATAATGACTATTTATTATATTAAGTTTTTCTTATATTGTATTGTATTATTTTATCATGTATAATTACTGTTTTACTCATTAATGTTTGATAACATCTGTTATTATATATTACAGTTATATTTATTATATTTAATATTTGTTTAAGGTTATTTACCGTTACTATATATTTTACATTATATATTACTCTTATCACATATTACTGTTATTATATTATATATTATATATTTTTTACAGGTCAATTACTGTATTATATATTTTTATTATTACTATTGTAGTCATATAACATTTTTTTAAGGATCAATTAGACTTTAATGAATTCATCAATCATATTACAGTTGAACACGATTTTAGTTCTTTGTTTGCAATGATAAAAGGTTTTATTTTTATTTCTTTTTTAAAATTCTTTTAATTTTTTTAATACTGCCTTTTAGTCCAATGGTTTATTAATTATTCAGTTTACGTACGCAGTACACAGTTCTCGAGTGCATTAAAAAAAAAATTTTATGCACTTTTAATTTTTCAGTTTTAAAAGAGTTATAAAAGATGTATTTTTTGATTATAGATGTTCCATATCCTTTACTAGACATAGATGATCAATCAGAAGCTCAAAATTTAAATATCTTGCAAGATTATAAGTATTTGGAAGGTTTTACTTCTATACAGAATGAATCCTCTATTCCCAAGGATTCTGAATCTTCTATTGCCAAGGACTTCGAAAATATAAATTGTACTAATATTTTAGAAACAAAAAGTAGACATAATAATGAAACACTTCAGTCAGAACTAGACAACTTGATTGGTGAAAGTGAAGAACATCCTATTGTTGCAAAAATACCGAAGGATGTGAAAAGTTTGGTTGCTAACGCCTCAGAAGAAAAAAAAATTTCTGTTATTAATAATAGAGATAATGAATTTGAAAACTGTTTAAAACCTCCGATTGATTTTGTAAATGATAATTCACTTAGGAATTCTTCAGATCTTTATAAAATGGACTCAAATTTAGAGAAAAAAGACTTAGCCTTAAAGGCAAATAATTCTACACAATCACCTTTTGGAATCTCAAATGATCATTCTATACAGTCGTCATCTTTTGAAATCTCAAATGATCATTCTATACAATCGTCTTCTTTTGGAATCACAAATGAACAAATAAGAGATCGTGATAAAAAATTTGTGAACAGTTCGTATTTTTTAAATGGTGATTCTTTCATGCATTTTTTAACTGATGTCAATTGTGTTGATCCTGCAATTGATGGATCTTCAGAATTTCATGTCAATAGTTTTCTTAATAAGCCAAATGATCCAATTCCTGAAAATCTTGAGTCTTCTCAACTTCATGTACGTAACTTGAATAATGAGCTTAACTCCATTTTAGAATCACACATTCAGGTGTCTGAAGGTGTCCCACGTATTCAGTCAAACATGCAATTGGCAGAACCATTGCTTTTGTCTGCAAGCGCTTTACCAACCATATCATTTCAAAATATGTATCAACCCCAAGAAACTTATTTGAACTTACCTGAACTAAAGTCTTCATCAGGACATTCACCACCACCCTTTTCTGAATACCATTCTTCAATGAATTTTCGCAAACAATGTTTGAAAGACAGTTTAACTATCCCAAAAATATCATCCAACAACAGCGTTGATGAAAGTGGTAAGCTTTATTTTAATCTTTTATATATTATTTTATTTAGTGAAATTATTTAGTGAAATTATTTAAAGAATGATAGTTTAATTTTTATATTTTTATATACCATTTGGCATAGTATAAATATAGTAACAAGCAAAATTAAGTCAGGTCAGGTTTATCCTCTTACTGGTAACATGTAACCCAGTACAATCTGCTTCATTTCCTGCTGCCTTGTAGGATACCTTTTTAGGCAAAGGCTAGGAGATGCCAACTTTGACATAAAACACCCCCTGCCTTGGGGCTCTTGGTTGAGTAAAGGCTAGAAATGGTGTCTCTATATAAATACTCATCTTGGGCAGATGTTGAATGTATCCGGCTGCTGTCTTGTAGAAGGCCTCCTAGGCAAAGACTTGAGGGCTAACAGATTCTATCTGTTGACATATGTATTCTTAATACATTGTTTCCAGTTTAGGATGTTGAATACTGGATCTGATTCCTGACTCTTCTAATGATCCTAATGATCTTCTAATGACGCCCTTTATCTTTTAGACAAGGTGCAAATACGCATTGTAAACATAGTTGGACCTGCTCTTGCAGCCAACCTTCAACCATTATCACATCACCATAATGTTGCTTCTCTTTCTCTTTTCTACAAATACTATAATAGGCACTGCTCTAAAGAGCTAGTGTCTCTTGTGCCATCTACTAAAATTCACTCTCGTGTTACTCGTCATTCAATTAAGTCTCATCTTTTTTCTGTTACTGTTCCTAAGTGCTCCAAAAACTCTTATTCATCTAGTTTTTTTCCTCAAACATCAGTTTTTGGGAATTCGCTTCCTTCATCTTGCTTTCCTGATTCATATAATTTGCAATCTTTTAAGTCGTCTGTCAATCGTTATCTTGCTCTACAATCTTCATCTTTTCTCTTCCAGTAACTTTCAACACTAAATAGCGGTTGCTTGCAGTATTGTTGGAAGCAAAGATATTTAAAAAAAAAAATTAATTTGTTTTCAATTAGCTGTGTGTTTTGTAGCTTTTTAATTATAAGTACCATCAGACTGAATTTTATTAATAGCATACGTTTCCTCTGTGATAAAAATGTAGGGCAATAAGCTTGCAGGTTTTGTTCCTAATATCTTTTTGTACTGAGAAACTGCCCCTTCTTTTTTTTTTTAAGGTGATCTAATATCAGAAATCATAGAAGGATGAATCTGTTCTCTAGTTGGACAGCATCCCAAAACTATCGATCCCTTACCCAGTGATCTTCTGTATTCCAGATTAAACATACTTTTTTTAATTGCTCACTTCTTGCTTTTTTAATGAAGACATTCATCATTTATGAATCAAAACTTTAAACTGCTGTTTAAAATTTTCTACTTTTTCTTTTTTCTTTTCAATATGTTTTGCACCGCTTAAGGCCAAGAATGCCACTTCAGTCGAGGAGTCTACTTTATTGTGGTTAAAACCCTCTCAACTCTTTGATTCTGAAACATGAACCTTGGCAAACAAGGCTGCTGCACAGAGAAACAAGTTAAGCGCAATACTACTTGGCATGTGGTAAGAATCCAACTTTGAACTTCCTGCTTATGAAGTGATCTAAGGCATTTTGATATTTAATTTATGTTAAGTAATTACATTGCATAATATATGTAATGCGCATTTTGACATCTTTTGTCTCAGTGGCCTATGTTTTGACATCTTTTGTCTCAGTGGCCTATGTTGCACAAGATTCCTACCATCATAGACACAGGAATTTTTTCTATTAAATATTTCATATTTAATACAAAAAAAAAAATATTATTTTAATTTTTTGGATCACTAGGTCAATACTTTTTTTATATAAACAATCTAGTTACTGTACACAGTATATTAATAAACAAACAACAAAACTAAAAGCTATAACTTAGATAAACTGTAGTGACAGTATAAACTGATGAACAAGCACCAAAACTAAAAATTATTACATTTATAAACAATAGTTACTGTATGTACTAATAAACAAATGGTAAAAATAAGTTGTGTGATAATTTTTGAAACATTGAGTCCTTCTACTATAATGAAGCCTAAGATTATTTTTCCACGCATTGATCTTGTATTTTTATGATATATGACACATCTTTCTTGAGTACACTCTGTTAGCTCATGGCCCTAGCCATCAAATTAAACATTTGCTGGTAAATCTGCATGTCTTTCACCTTTGGTCTGCATTATTTGAGTTGATTTCATTAGGACTATTGTAATTTCTTGTCTGAAATCTAAGTGAGTAGTTTTGTGATAATTAGGATGTAGAGCAAAAAAAAATCTCCAACCTGCAACTAGATATAAATTTAACATTTTAGTCATCAATGGCCACCACCATTTTTTATCTTGGATCATAGGCCTGTAGGATCCCAAAAGATGATCCATCAAATCAACTTATTATCCTTTAGTTCCAACTCACCTTTTCACTTTGTGTACTTAAGTGTAAAGTAGTTGCTTGCAATGGTTCTAGTGTCTAACTTCTGAAATAAGATGAGCAATTTATTGAACAATGAATAATGGAACTTAGCATTAAATACCTTGTGACATTTTTTGCAATTATATATAGGCACTTGTTCTCAAGAAAGTTGTTATTTTAAAAACAATCAAAAAAATTATTACGGTTAGATATAGCAGCTGCACAAGCTAGCAAAAACCATGGAGTGTTTGACTTAAAACTGACGAGAAGGAATAAAAGCTTATATTCCTGCCTGGATCCAGGAGATTACGTATTTACAAGGCGTATTTATCATTGGTGAGAAAAAAAGATATCAGCCCAAGGACTGTCTCAAAGAAAACTTCGAAAAGAATTCCAGTCAGCTTTAGGGTAGTAGTAAGTAGTGCGATAATAGAGTCCTAGCTACTAGATTACTACTTATCCCTTCTTTATTTCTAACTATTAGTTAATATTTATTCCTTCAACTTTAGTTAATACAAAATTAGTTTTAACTTTAGAAAACAAACCTTAAATTAGTTTTTGAGTTTGAACTGCTGAAAAAAAATTTCTTCCTATGATTATTGGTAAGATCAAAGAATTATTTTAAAAACTTTTTGTGTTAAAGTTTGCAAAAAACTGAAAAATGCCTTTTCAGTTTTTTCGTGGATATCATTACTTTTGAGGTACTATCTGTTCTATTTTTACAGACAGTTCCTGTAGCATTGAAACCCTCTTCTGAAAGTAATTCATCAACTTTCCAGTTGTGAAATAATTGTCAAAATATGTTTTGTAAAATTTTTTATTAGATATTTGCTTCACTACTTCTAGCATATCTTGAACAACTTGCTGACAAGTAGTTCAAGATAAGCTAGAAGTAGTGAAGCAAATATATACTAAATAATAGTTATTTAGTATAAAAATTTTAGACTTTATGGAGTTCATTTTATATATATATATATATATATATATATATATATATATATATATATATATATATATATATATATATATATATATATATATATATATATATATATTAATATTTTATTTTCAAGATTTTTTTTTAATAAATAATAATTTAAACATTATAAATTTCTAAACTTTCTTAAATAAAGCAAAATTATATTTTTGCTTCATTTGAAAAACAAAATAGCCTACAAAGATATTATTAGATTTGATTTGAATGACTTTTTCTACTCTTTCTTTTTAGTTTCGATAGCTAGTGATGCCCTTCTTCTGCTTGCAACTAGTCCTGTGAAACAAGCACCAAGTCTGATAACTTCAAAAATACCTGGTTTTTTACATCCTCCAAATGAGATATCAGCATTGTTAAAAAGTTTTATATCTAATGATTCTTTAATATATTCAGAATTTAAAAATACTCAAGACATTCAAACTGTAGTGAATGATAACAAAATAGAACATACAAGTCAGCTGCCATCTTTTTCGCCTATTAAGGTTTCTAATAATACTTCTTATAGTACAATGCAGGTTGGTAAGTCGGTTTCAACAAATAATAAAAAAAAGAAAAGTAAAAATGAGCATAATGGTTGTGGAACGATTAGCAAAAATGCACGCAATAACCAGGATTTTGTTCCTCGAATCTTTAATTTTGTTAGGTCTCCAAAAAAAGCACCATTTGTATCTCAAAATAAATCAAGACTGAAATTTAAAGGAAAAAAATTGAACTCAGAAACTATTATAAAAACTAAGGGTGTTGGAATTGTTTACAAAAACAAAAAAAATGTTAATGCTTCAAATAACTCATTGTCTTCCGAAAGTGGTGTTTCAAGTTGTTCTAACTGTTCTAATGACTCTCTTAAAGTAATAACTGCTGCACCTTTTGTCAAAATTCGGAATAGTAAATTTTTGAATAATCCCGTTTCTAGTTCAAACAATTATTCAGAGACTACAAATAAGATTAAATCTTCAGATTCATTTTGTATCAAGAAGAATCCTATGGTTAACTTAACTAAAATAATTGGCATTAATCAAGAAATTCCAATACTCACTCTAAATAAAGTAAATGATAACAAAGATAATGAAATATTTGAAACACCAGAAAAAGTTGAAAATTTTGAAAAAAAATCAAACCTTTATAATTCACCAAAAGGTTTATCATCAAGTAAAGACTCTTTTGCTGAGCGTTTTAAAAAACTTCAAGCAAAGGAATCACTCAAAAAGCAAAATATTACTCCAAATGCTTTAAATGACCAAAACCTTGATATTAATTCTACAGTTAAAGCAAATTCTTTTCTTAAGTCACCGTCACAGTCTAATGTAAACAAAAAGTCTCCATCACCTGTGTTTGATTCTAAATTTTTATCTTCGCCTAGACAAGGATGTACATATCGTATACAAGGCAATACAATTTCTCCACTTCATGCAATTAATAATGAAACTAGTTATTTTCCTGAAAGTAATGTTTGTGGTAGTGAGAGTTTTGTTTCAATTAGTCCTGTAATACCCTATAAGCAACCATCAAAAAACATTAAATCTATAACTAAAATAGAAAGTAATAAAGAAAATTCAAAGTGCGGAAGTTTACTAGCACAAGAAAATTCTACAGAAAGTTCGATTAAAATAGACACTACACCTACAAAAAACGTTTCTTTGCAAAATTTAAGACCAAAACAATTAACAAAAAAAGAAATTAAAGTAAGGTTTAACTTTAAATCCCCCAAAAAGACAAAGACAAAAGTGGTGAATAAAACTTTACACCAAACTCCAAAAGCAAAGTCAAGTAAAACTGTTGATACTGCTGCCAGTGACTTGACTAATGAATTATTTTTAAGGAAACAAAAAACACTTTTTAATCAAGCAGCAAAAACTAATATTAAGCTTTACAGTCCTGTAAAAGACCTTTTTAATTGTTCAAAAATAAATACCAATTTACTTCTGATTCCATATGCTGTTCAAATCAAAAGCCAAGACTTATTGTATGTTGTTGATACCAGTTTTCAAGATTTGATTGCAAGCAGTAATTATGAACTTGAAATTATTTTAGAACCTCCTGATACTTTAAATTCATTTCCTTTGCCAGCAAATGTGTCTGCATATACAGTCCAAAGTATGGGTTTGGCCAATGAAAGTGCTTGCAAATTATCTGTGAATACAGAAAAACAATCGTCAAACTCAGGAAGTAGCAATCAGTCTTCAAAAGCTGAGAATAATGTGTATAACTCTAATATATCTCTTAGCTTTACTGACACTAATAAAGTTTCAACAGTGCAACCAAGTAATGTGTTAAACTCATCAGAAATTTTAAGTACACAATCAAACTGTGGTACAATGTTAGTTCCTAATAAAAAATGTTTAAATGTTCAATCACATACATTAAATACGCAATCACATACATTAAATGGCGCAATTATTTCTTTAAGTGGAAAATCAGACTTTTTAAACAAAGACATAGTTAAAGATCTAACTGAAAAATCAAGTTTGGTGAATAGTTTTAAGTCAAAAGAAGTTATAGTGCTTAATGACAATAATCAGCCAATTGCAACATTAGAAAACAAGGTTGAAAAGAATACAATTACAAACAATGAATTATTAACAGCTAAATCTGAATTAATTATTAAAATTCCTGATTTGCACAAGAAAATTGTAACAAAGCGTTCTTTTTTATGTGATGAGGTAATTATTATTTTTTTTTTTAAATTTATGAATTGTTATGTTTGTAGTTTTTGATTGAGTTTAATGTTTAAAGGTTTGCATGAATTTTTATGTTTTTTAACAATTATAAAAATATTGTTAATATTACATACAAGAAAAAAATTTGCACATAGTTTTGTATGTGTTGGTAAGTAAGTAAAGTAATCTTCCAAAACATCTTTTTTAAAACTACTGAAAAAAATACTAAAATCAATAAATAGGGGCATATTCCAGGAATTATCTTTTTCCGGATATTTCCGGAATTCCAGATATTTTTTAAGTTTTTTGTATTTTCCGGATAATTAAATAGTTCAAAAATACAATTTATAAATTTTTTTCTGTTTATTACTGTCATCAAATGAAACAGTAACAAGTATATATAAACAGTAAATTTGTTGTCCATAAATTACGGAACGCTATATTTAGTTAACAAACAAAGCCAAAAAGATTAAAAGATTTCCCTCGCAGAGTATATCAAAAATTAATAAGCATTTTAATAAATTTTAATAAAAATTCCAGCGCAAAAGAGCGAATGATCTCCTACTTTTAAAATAAAATTAGCAATGCGTGTCAAACTCTTCTCTTTTTTAAAAAAATTGTAAATTTACACTTTTTAAATAGCTCTTTTAGCTATTAGCAAAGAGATTTCTTTTTTATTGTTTTAAAACTTTTTTTTTAAGTAAATCACTTCGCTTATGGACTGAAACTTTTCTCAGTTTGTTTGTCGGTGGTTCAAAATTTATTGCATCATTATTTCGCTTTCTGTCCAGTCGTACCATTGCAAGTCTCTTTTCGTATACACTTTTCGAAAGTATCATTTTTTCGCATAATTTCTTATTAATTGGCGACTTTAAAAAGTTTTGACGATGGTATTGAGTTATAGAGTTGCTTTTCTTTGAACGCAAATCAAATTTAACTGTTTGAATTGCCGAAAACGTTTCTACATTAAGACGGGTTGTCTTCTTGTTTATGACATCATTCATGGTACTAGTAAAGAAAAAGAAATAAATAGTCTAAAGAAATTTTTCTTCGTTTTTGACTTACCTGAACTACTATAATATAATTATGTTATAATAATTATTTAATTAAATTAGTAATAATATTATAAATAGTGTTTAATAGTTACTTTTAAAATACAACTTGAAGTTCTCAGATCAAAAAAGTTACCTGAACGATTGTTCTATCATAGGTCCAGTAAATATTGACAAACAAGCTTTAATAATCTTGGTAAGTAAGTTGTATCGGTTCAATACAAAAACCTCGGACCACCATTGATCAAGTCTTTTTCCTTTTACTGCTGGTAAGTCTTTAGCGAGATGAAACGCAACAACTTCCCTGTCAAATAAGTCTGCTTCGTCAATTTTTATTATGTTAGGAAAAAATTCTTTCAGCTTCTGCGTCATTCGACACGCAACTGTACTTCCAACACACGTTGGATCAATAGAGGATAGTAGTTTTAATAACTCGTTCGATAAAGGAATCTTTTTTTGCATATACTTTGCACCATCGAGAAATGCTCTTTTAACATGCGATTCAAACTCTGTTCGGATAGGATCATCAAGTCTACATTATTTAAAAGATTTTCGTTACCTTTCTCGTTAAATTATATTTCAAAAATAACATAAGTTTATTGATTATTTTTTAATATTTTAATAGGCTAATATCAAAAGTCGCGTATATAAAAATCGAATTTAATAATATTATTACTGTTTTGCTTTAGTTAATACAAATTTACTAACCTAAATTTGAGAAGAGCTGTGTTTGTGTTTTTGCCAATGTACCAATCTTTTTGAATTTTGTGAAATTTGAAGTCTGTTACGTCAAGCATTGTTAGTTTTTTACCCGATGCATCCTTAATTAGTTCTAGCTTCATAAAGCAGCCTAAAAAAGATTTAACCACTGATTTTAGCTCATCGTATAAAATGTGAATCTTCGGTTCTTTTTGTTCAAATATTAAAATAAATGACTTGAAAATCGGGAGGATTGCAATATAGAAGTTAGCATGCAGCTCGGTTTTTCTTCGCTTGTAGAAAAGTTTGCTTACTATTCTTTTCTTTCTTTCTTTTCCAGCTTCAGTTAAAGACTTTTTTTTGCATTTAGCGCCAATTGAGTATATCCTTTTTTTTACACCATTTGACAAGTTCTAAAAATATAAAATTTCACGAATAAAACATTATATCTGCATAGAAAAGTTTTTTTCGCAGTTTTTGACGTTTTTAAATTTTTACCTCCGTTAGTTTTTCATAATCATCGAAGTAGATAGTTTGTTCCTCATTCTTTAACCAAAAAAAGTACAACACGCTAAGAGCAGGAAAAAGTGCCATGTTACACTCAATAGCATCGAACGTTGATAACCAACGGTGATCAATATGGTCAGGTGGCATTCGATAGTTTACACCTAAGTAACCACATATTTCACTTAAATAGTTTCGAATGTCAGGGCTCCATTTTAGGTCATTGTGAACATCTTTACAGAAATACTCAATATACTTTTCAAATGGTGCCAAGAATCTTTTAACAGTGTTATGCATATGATGACACATGTCTCCGTCAATATCTAAAAGATGAGGGACATGTAGCCTTAAAAGGGTCTCAAAACCTGTTTTTTTACCGCGCATGTAATTGGTCGAGTCAGAGAGGTTCGAAATTAAATTATCAGTTGGTATTTCATCATTTAAAAAAAGGCTTTTTATGTAATCAAATAATATTTTTGCATTAATTACTGTAAAAGATTTTGAATGGTAATGCTGTACAACTGATAACATCTGGTTTTCAGAGTAATATGATACCAAGATAGAGAAAACTTTTTCGTGTGCATTGTTTAAACACTCATCAACATTTATTGAAAAGTACGATTTACGTAAATCTTCTTTTATATTGTCAGCAATATGTGCAGCTAAGCCGTGTCGTAGCTTGTAAGATGCTGTACATCCAGCCATAATCAACGAGGTTAAAACTTTATTGTCTTTGGCAAGCACTTGCGATAATCTTATTATTGCAGGTGTGAGACAAAATGGTAGTGAATGTTCAGCAACAAAAGAAAGAACCATCGCTTCAGCATGTGCTATCCGATCTTCTACTCCTACAGATTTTTTTACAGAACTTTCTATTTTACTTGCACATGCTTGCTCATCATGAACATTTAGAGCAGTGCCGTATGGTAAAGTACAAGTACTTACAACTTTGTTTTTTGTAAATATCGATGAGAGAGTAGTGTTGGTTTGTGCAATATTTATTTTTTCTTTGTGCGATTTATTTTTAGAGTGGTTTTTTAAGTCTTTTTTACCGCTATTTTTATAGGACAAAAGTACGTTACAAATGCTGCAAAGAACTTTTCCAGGAATATTTATCTTGCGTATATAATCAGACAAGAAAGTTCCATTTTTGTCTTTTTCTTCTAACCAAGACCAGCGAAAAGTATTCTTTATTCCAACTTCCAATTCTTGTAAACTTGTGCATTCACTTCTTTGTAATTCTTTAAAAGTAGCCATTTTGAAAAAAATTTTGATATTTTAAAATAATATGAGTGGTACACAACTTAGTACTACTATTTATAAACAAGTACCATTGACTTTTTTCTAACACTGGAGATGATAATTAAAAGATAAATAATTAAAATGTTTTTTAAGTGAATTTAAGGACATATGAATGAATGGACGTTTAATGCGTTGTTTAACAGGTACACCGCTGCAGGTAGCAGCTGTGACATTAGGAATACTTTTATTTTATTATTTTTTAAATGACGACTGTCTGTAATATTCACACAAAAACTTTATAAAGTATTGTAATTAATTTACATTTCTGTAACTGTATAAGAAAAATTTAAATTATATATATAATTAATATATATAGTTTAAACATATAGTTTATATAATAAAAACTATATGTATAAGAATAAACGGTACTCGTAAATAAAAATTTTGTGACAAAATCTGTGAGCAAGGTTTAAAAAAACGCAGCGGTGAGGCGTACGATTTTTTAAATCTTGATTATTATCAAGTTTTAAAAATTTTTAAAAAGCGTACGCCTCACCACTGCGTTTTTTTAAACCTTGGTTGTGAGAGAAAAATCAGTTTTTAATTTCCGTCATATAGGAGAAATATCGTTAATTTTAACCCTTTAAATATTAGTAAAATCTATTTCTAGAGAGTAGTGAAACAATGTATAGTTCGATCTACAAATGAGATATTTGGTATGACCTTCAACTTGTAGAAAATTCTATTAATCTTACAGTTACTGTAATACTGTGGTGTATTAATATGGTCGTTCGGTACAACTTGTTTTCGTAAAGGGTGATTAAATCTTATACAAAAACTTAAACTACTGACTAAGATTAATTATTTTGTTAGTAATAAGTTATTACATACAAATAAGAGTTATATATTATGATTTTATTCTTTTAAAGTAATCTAAACATATGTACTTTGACTAAACGTCAACTGAATCAAATTGCTTTGAAGTGTTTATTATTAGGTTTTTAAATAAATCGCATTTTGAGGCACGTTTTCTTTTCAATTCAAAAAGCGCTTGTCAAAATTAATTATATTTTCTTTCAATTAAAAAAAAAATAACTTTTTTAAATCTTTTAAATTTTGAACCACATGAATAAGCACGTGAATCATTAACAATACCTCACCCTTTGGTTGTCGTAGTTAAAATAAATTTAAAATTTTTATTTAAACTTTATCTAACCAACGATTAAACTTTTTTATAGGGTTTTTTAGAGGGATTCTTTTTTTTTTTTTTTTTTAATTTTGAAACGTGCAGATTATTTTATAAAAGAAGAAGTCGTTATATTGTAAATTAAGTTTAAAACATTTTAAGCACTCAGTGGAAGAATTGATTGTAGAAAATTAACTGATTACAGAAAAACAATTCAATATCTTTTTACTTTTTATTAATTTATTTCCTTTTTTTAAACATATTTATTACTAAAGATTTCTTATTATTTGTATATAAGAAGTCTGGTGTTTTATTATTATTATTTCCTTGCGATTAAAGTATGCTTCGAAAATAGTTAATATAAAATTCATTTATATTTTCCAAAAGTTGGTGGTTAACAGGTAATAAAATGTTTACTGAAAGAAGTTGGCAAGCAAAAGTGTCGGATAAATGTTGTAAAATTACTACAAAAAAAAACCGAAACGCTAAAATAAATAACGCCCATGGGATTTCAGTTATAGTGGCGCCTCTGATCTGTAACAACGCGTTAAACGTTTATCTATTTGTATATCTTTGGAGAATTGAAGCGAAATTTTATTATCCATTATGTATTTAAATGTATAAGTGCATGTCTAAAAAAGTTTACGCACTGTTTAACAGCTTTTAAATATAGTTTTCTACTTTTTCTTTGACTTCTTTTTCTTCTTATTAATATTATTGTTAAAATTTTATTATTACTATTTTTTTTTTGATGAAAAAATATGTAGCTTTTTATTCATAGATACGGTTAAACTGACGTAATATTAAAGAAATATAAAAAAAATCGAGGAGAGCACGCCCCCCTTGTTAACATCTTCCCTCCTTGTTGTAAATTTCGGATTTTTTCCCGATATTACTATAAAGTTTTCCGGATTTTTTCCGGATATTACAAAAATGTTTTCCGGATTTTTTCCGGATATTCAAGGAAAAAAAATTTCCGGATTTTTAAAATATGGTCAGGATAATCTATGATATTCTTTACTTTATAGAATTATCGCTGATTTTTTTAATATAGATTTGATAAGTTTATCAGTTTTTTAGTGTTTAATCTCATTCCAAGCGGCTTTACATAGCTTATCTGCATTTATGAAGGGTCCTTTGTGTTTTAAAAAAAGTTCAACTTGATGCCATAATTTTTCATTTGGATTGATATTAGGTGATTGAGCTGGTCACTTCATTACTTCAATTTGATTTGTTGCAAACCATTGTTTAATGTGTTTGGACGTGTTTCAGGTTGTTGTTCTTGTTTAAACATATATAGAAGTATATTATAACAGTATGCAAATCAACCCATAAAAATAAAACATAGACAAATTGATCCATAATGCTATTTATTCTTTGGTTAGGTCCGATTCCACTAAAACCAAAAAAACAACTCCAAACTATTACACCTTTAATGCATTTTTTGATGTTTTCAGTCTGTTGGATAACTTTGCTGTTTCTTTTTCCTCTTTTGAACTTCATTCATTATAATATCATCTACAGGGTAGTCTTGTGTATCATCATCATCTGCATCTAGTGCATGACTGTGGTCTTCTGAGTGATCACTCTGTAATGGTTGGTATTCAATACCAGAATCATTTAATTCACTAAAATTTTAAAGGTTGTTTTTCTCCTCAGTCAAATCTTCAGGGTTATTTTCAATATCGTCAAAAAAATTGGTCTTACTGTATTGTGGTTTATTGGACCTGTATTAGTGGATGGCTGCATGTCACCCATCCACTTCAATATTGGGTGACATGTTGTTTACTCCTAGTTCTTCAACTCAGTCATAAACATGGTGTTAACATTTGTTTTATATAAATACTATTAAAAACATAATAGTTGTAATAGCCTTATAAAACAACTTTGCTATTTTTGTTGCAGAAAAATATTTTTTTTTCCTGCAAAAATTCTCACATACAAAATCAAAATATAGTAAAACGGCTAAAATATTACAATTTGAACTAGAATGAGTTCTGATGTTATAATACAACAAGATGTAATGGAAAACTAATCTCCACTAACAAATAATGAAGAGTGAAATTTATTTTTGTGCCTACATTTGGAAATTAATTCATCTCTTTTGTTTAGATTCAGATTGTCTTTTGTTTAGATTCAGATTGTCTCTTTTGTAAAATAACATTTCGAATTTCTAATTTAAACATACCTTACAAATTTTTAATGCAGGATTATGTTTTACAGTGTTAAACAATATTCCATTTGATTGAAGTGTAAAGTTAATTTCTTTTAATTCCTATACTTCCTTTGCCAGCTCAGTGTCATTCTTGTACTTTTTTGTGTTGAAAGATTTTAGATGGTTTGCGTAAAGTAATGTAAAAGAGGTTTCGCTTATCCTAATGTATAATTTATCTTTGCATTAAGGTTTATTTGAACTTACTGTGGCTTGGTAAACACTGTTGTTAGACAAGAAATGGTTGTTCAGTAGACAAAGAGATTTTTTAATGCAATTGCAGGTTTTTTCTGATTACATCACCATATAAATATTTTTGTTGTGTGAGTTGATGGTAAATTTAATGCTTGGCATGCAGGAGTAGCTTAATTGTATTTCTGTTAAATATTTTGTAGTTTGTAGTTTTTAGGGAAATGCTGATCAATTAAGGTTAAAAAGCAATGACCAATTAAGGTTGGAACATTTTTACTGAATGGAGGATTGTACCAGATAATTTTCATTTGTGGTTATTTTTTGTAACATATTTTATGCTTGGTTTATATGCCAGCTTATAGGTGTAACCCAATTGTTTTATTGCATTTTCATAAATAGGTAACCATTTATTAAAAATAACTTCACATGATGAATTGGCGGATTTAGCTTGGTAGCCTTGGCAATCTTAGCTTAATATTTTTTGAAGATTGTTTATTATGTTAGGTGGATGGTTTGAATCAGCATGTACATAACTTAGTTTGTTATCAGGCTTGCAGTATGGTTGGATTAAATTTTGAGTAAGATTAAAAGTTAAATCAAGGTAGTTAACGATTTGAACATTGATAGAAATATTTAGATTGCTATATTTGAAAACTTGAATGAATTTATTTTATTTGCTCCATTTGATGGACACTTTTGTTCTTAAGTACAGCTAAACCATCATCTCAATATAAACCATATAAATAATTAAGTCATTTTGTAAAACTTTGAAATTTGAAAAAAAAAATGAGCCATCATACATTCCCATGGTGACATCAAACAATCCTGCTTTCTTTTTAATACATGGTATAAAAATGAAAGATTTTCTTGCATGGCATATAGATTTGCTTTGCTTGTCTATTAGTATATGTTGCTTGGAAAAGGTAATTGCGTTATTGAGTATGTTTTCATCAATTGACGCATAAAAATCATGTCAAATACTAGGGATTTACACAGGTGTTCATTGTCAATTTTTTGGAACCAATTTATTACATTCTGGATATTTTGCCATTGGTTTAAACAGAGCCTAGTTATCAATTTTGAGTTGATATTGAATAAAATCTACAAAGTGCCTTCCACAAATTAAAGAAATGTCACTATTTAAAAAAGTATTAATAAATCTTGTTAAAACTATCAGATTTTGCAATCTCGCCAACAAACTTCAAGAAAAAATAGTGACATTAAATCTTTATGCAAATCTTATAAAACCTTTAAGAAACTAAGCAAATTTTGATTATGATATTTTTAATAGAATCAAGGTAAACTGAACTGTTGATTATTTTATAACTTTAAAAGATCATAAACCCAACTTTCTAAACAACCCTACTGTGCGTCTTTTAAATCCTGCAAAGAATGAGGTAGGAACACTATCAAAGTTTACTTTATTCATATATATATATATATATATATATATATATATATATATATATATATATATATATATATATATATATATAAATAGATATATATAGATATATACAGGGCCTATTCTTGGAAAAAAATTTGGGCGGCGGTACCCCCTCGTTCTGGCAAACTTTAACGAAAAATCGGCGGTTTTTCGCAAAAATATTTGCTGTTTAAAAAATCAAATTTTAATTAAAGCAGCGTCTAAAAGATTGAAATTTCACGAGGCACTCCATAAACGAGTGTACACTTTTCTGGATTTGCATCCAGAAGAGAACAAAGGTTTTGTTGTTAATCATTTTCGCATGGAAAATATTCCAAAATCAACCATGTACAATATGCTGCAACAAAAGGAGACCAGAAAAAAAAGTTGGAAGTGGTTGGACTGCAAACAACATGCATCAGACACAGATTAAACGTCTAAAAAAATTGATTGATAAGAAGGACAGTGTTTCACAGCGTATCTTAGCCAAAAGATTCAATGTTTCGCAGCAGTATATATCCAAAATTATCAACCAAAAGACGAGCATTTGATATCGTAAAAAAGCTAAAGTGCCAAAAAGAACATTGGCTCAGAAAGCTGTTGTGCATTTAAGTGCCAAAAATTAGTTGCACTTTTTTTGAAAAATTTGTGATAACAGGCGACGAACCGTAGTTTTCTATGTTCAACACACAGCTTTCTGGCAATGAAGCATATTATACTTCTAATCCAATGAGGTTAAGCTTAAAAGAAAAAGCAAATATGAGCCAAAATTATATGTTTTAGATAGCCTTGTCAGAGAAAGGGGTTTCAAAGAATTACATAGCTCCTTTGGGTCAAGCAGTCAACAAGAATATGTACATTTCCAAATGCCTAGTTAAATTAAAAAAGTTCATCAACAAGGTTCATAAAAATAACAAAATTGTGTTCCGACCTGATCTAGCCTCTGCACACTATTCAAACAAAGTGCAAAATTACCTAAATGGCGAAAATATTGAATATGTTAAGAGACATAAACCCTGCTAATGTGCCTGAATTGCGCCCGATCAAGGATTTTTTGAGTGAAATTAAAAGATTGGTGAATGCAGACAATTAGCAACTTAAAAATATCTGCCAAATAAGAATTTGAATTGAGTATTGTATAAAAAAAATTGATCAAAATTGTGTACATAGGCTTGGAGCGAGTACCTTTACAAGAGTTTACTGTGTTCGGCAAAATGGACTCATAAATAAATTATTTTTATTTTTATTTTGTAAGATACAAATTTTTTGTTAAATTGCTTTTTAAATTTAAAAAATTGATAACTCTGTTCAAGAGGTATATATTTTCAAAGTTTGTCCAGATTTTTAGTTGTCACATGTTATAGGCATACACACACATAAATATCCATAAAAGTGGCAGCAAAATATGGTTGACATGTTAATGCAACAAGCGTTAACAAGCTAATCATATTGAGTTTAGTTATTATATACATAATTATAAACAAAAAAATAGGGGGGGGGGGATTGCTTTTACAGTATACTTCTTTTCATCTATTTCTTTTTTATTATCGTTTTATTAAAAGTATAATGCCAATTTTTTTTTTATACTTTCTTTTATACATACATACATACACACACACACACACACACACACATACATATACATACATACATACATACATACATACATACATACATACATACATACATGTATATATATATATATATATATATATATATATATATATATATATATATATATATATATATATATATATATATATATATATATATATATATATATATATATATATATATATACATATATGTTCATATTTGTTTTAGGATGATAAATCAAATCCAAAAAAGCGAAAGGAAGATGTAAGATTTTAAAAGTTTTGGTTAATGATGAATATTACAAGTTCATATGCATGCATTTGCTGTTGTTCATTAAACAATGTATTAAAGATATTCATTGTTTTATTGCACCAATTTCAAAACAATGCAGGTTGTTGTGTCATGATCAATTAAGAGAAAATTGTATCATTGTAGCCTTACATAACCTTACAATTTTATTATTTTATTGGTCTCTTTCAGCTTGAATGCATGCAAAATGATGACTGAGCGGATATCTGAAACCAATTTTTTATTTTTTGTTTATTTTTTATTAAAGTTATTTTTTATTATTATTGACTAAAGTGTTTCGAAATATTGTCAATAAATTCAAAATATTGTCAATTAATTCATTAGATAAATTTATTAAATATATTGTTATCTTAACATAATAATGATAATACAATATATTATGATAAAGTGCTTAACAAATGTATTCATTTAAATTATTTCTATTAAGTTAAATATAAATATATGGTTTTAAATATACAAATAAAAGAGAGACTTAAATGTGCAAATAAAAGAATTTTAAAATGTAGGAAACATTATTTAATATGTCATTATCATTATTATTATTTTTATTTTATTTTATTTTTTTTATTTATTTTTTTTTTTTCAAAGTAACTTAAAAAAAGAATTATTTACTTTAAAAAATAAATATATAATAATAAAACAAAATTTATATACTGCAGCTAACTTAAATGTTTAAAATATCTGAAAGTTTAACAGCATTTAATAATTTTAAAGTATGAAATGTCCTGAAAGCGATCTTACCTACCTTGCACGGTATTTTGTATTAAAGAGAGTGTTTAAGAATGTTTTGTATTTTAACATGAGTAATTTTTGTACATAATTTTTAGCATTCTAAAAATTTTGGCATATTTATAGTAGTATCAAATGAGGATGTCTTACAAAAAAGTAATTTAATAGGTGTCTAACACTACCTCAAGAATTTCGGGTTACTTTTCCTAAAATTACTTTTAATTTATTTGTTTTAATTTATATTAAATAAATTCCTTATTAACAAACAGATTTGAATTTTGTCATAAATTTCTTGTTTCAAGTTTATATCAAGACTTATAAAAGGCTTTAAAATTAACATTAATTTGTTATAATTGACAAAAAAAAATGTTTGGAGTCATTGTGAGTTTTATTAAATTTAAACCAGCGTCTGTTGCAAAAAAAGTTTTCAAAGGAAAGGCATTTTTTTTAGGCACATTTAGTTATTAAATTTCAAGGATGGTATTTTGAAGAGCTAAACAAACTGATTGCAAAATAAAAAGTTCCCAAATTTTTACTGTCCCAAAAACCGGATAATCACAATCAAAATTTTGCTGTATATGGAAACCATCCTATAGTTTTAACCAGGAAGGTATCTGTTAACTAACTAAAAATAGTTTTCTTTTTTTAAGTTACACCTAAATAAATAATATTTTTTGCCCATATTACTACACCTAAATAAATATTATTTTTGCCCATATTACTATTATCATGAGACTCAGACTCATAGTTCATCTGACTGCTTGTCGTCATCCTTTTGAGGTGGTTACAAATTTTATGTGGTCATAATTTTTAAATGCTTAGAGATTATTCTATCTCCATGGCAACGACCTTCTTGGGTTTCTAAAATAAATGATCTCTTTCTTCAATCATTTTTGGCATTTTAACAGGTCTTGCTCAACCCATTCACAAGTAAATGGGTTGCCTTCTTGATTTTTTATGCATGCCTGATGTACAGCTTCTTTTGTTTTTTTTAGTTAACCTGCTTTGTCTCATTTTTATTTAAAGAATTTGGATGATTGAATAATACAATCATCTAAGTTCTTTAATTCGTCACAAACTGCTTCTACCAGCAATAATCTTCTTAATGAGATTTTCTGAAAGTTTTTTTTGAAATTAGAAAAGCTTGCATGCATCTTGATAAAGAGTGTTTGCAATTCAGAATGCATTAGGTTTACCTTTAGTTTTACAGAAAAATGGTGAAATGACTTGAATTCCAACCACGAATAAAGTAACTATAATGTAATCAAAATTTATAGAATCTTAGGCTAAGCAAGTAAGTTTATTTGTGATAATATATATGATTCATTTTGGTCTAAAAACTCAATGAAGTCATTCCAGTGAAAGCAAACTATAGAAGATTTTGATAGACATTCAAGTTGAACATCTTTAAAGTCAAAAAGAAAAATATTTTCTTTTTTTTATCTATTTTTTATTTGTTTTTATGCTGCACAAAAGTTTTGAATTCTTTATGATAGTTCGATGGTTTTTGAATAAAATATGGACCTAACAAGTTTAGTACCCATGATGGATAGGTCAAAGATAGCATTTCAATACTTTTGTCAACAGATATATTTAACAGAAAGCCCTTAAAAAGGTTATCCGTACTCATTTCATTTTCAATTTGATTTAGAACTTTTTTGATAGCTCTGTCAAAACCTAAAGCTGTGTGTGAAATGCAAAACATTTGACCAGCAGGAATTTCTCTATCAAGTATATCGGCTGTGTTTTTAGATATACCTATATTATGAACAGTGCTGACAGTCATATGAACATCTACCTTCTTTTAAGGTGTATTTTGAGGCTTTCTGTAACATTTCAAATGTTTTATTATTCCATCTGCAATACTTGTTGTAGTTTCTGAAGCAATTGCAAATGTAAAAAAATGAAAATAGTATTCGTAATTAATATGTAAATCAGAAGGTGCAAAGTTCCCAACATGCTTTCGAGTATTAGAGTCAGTTACATGTGTTAATATATTTAATAGTTAAGTTTTTTTATTGTCGCACAGGTAGAGCATGAATATCAGAAGAATTATCGTTAAATATTAATTTTGATTTTGATCTGGTCATGTACGGCTGTTACATCAACAAATATAATTCTCTTTTTTTAAATTGGTTTAGTGCCTTTTTTAAAGAACTGATTATTATTGATTTGCTAACTTTTTGATGTTTTTTTTATAGAACGGTTCATCTTTGGTCTTGTAGAATTTCTGATGATTTCCTAACTTTTTGATGTCGTCCTTGTAGAACGCTTTATCTTTGGCCTTAAAATAGTTTCTGCATTGGCTTCCGTGTTTTAGTAAAGCAAAAAAAGTTCTCAAAATATGGCATCTTTTTGATGATTTCACGCTTATGATTTTAACCCATTTTGGCCTACTGTAAGGCAATCTTGATTTGTGATAAATGATGCGTACATACGTGAAGAGAATGATGATTAATGGTATTACTTTAGTACGTACTTTATGTATGTCCTCTAATCATCAAAAAGGTATTAAAAAGTTATAAATACTGTTTTAGCGATTATAAAATAAAAAATAAAATAAATGAAGAATAAATTAAAAAACAAAATTTGAATGTTACAGATGATAGAAACAAAAAAAACTATTAAAAAAATTTTTTTAATCTTTTATTTAAATAAACACGTGGTTAAGAAAAATTAATTCCTCGAAAGGAATAATTTGTACTTAAACTAATTAAGACTTCTAAATTTAACAGGTTGTTTTACATTTTGTTGAACTTAATAAGTTTTTTTTTTTTTAAAAAAAAACGATTTTATAATTATTTTTGCAACCACGTTTGAGTTTTTATTATATATATATATATATATATATATATATATATATATATATATATATATATATATATATATATATATATATATATATATATATATATATATATATATTTGATATTACAACTGAATATTTTTCAACGCACTTTTTAGAAAAGAAAAAAAAGTGTTGCTGCTCTAAAGTCAATTAATCTGGAACAGTTCCTTTCAAAAATTAAATATAGTTCGTGATTATATGCAAGATGTTATGCACAATGTTACTTCAAAAATATATTCGCCTCGGATTTTTACTAGTTTTTACTACTTGGTGTCATTTCCGTTACTATGGACTCTTTTCTGTTTTATATAACCAAGTAACTATCCTATATAAAAACGAAAATCTTATTAGATTTTTTGAAGTCGTGGCTCGGAAAATGCTGAGCGAAGTTTATGATTTCACTGGTTTATTGCTTGTAATTAAAAAGTGCTTTCTTTTTCTTTTTAGAGCTTTAAATTTTTTTGTAAATAACGGATGTTTTTTATTTTAACAAAAACGAAAGAATATACTCATGTAATTAATTTCTTATTTGTGCGGTATATTTTTTTATTTTGTAAAAAAAAATTTGTGCTATTTACGTTTTGTAAATATTATGTAATAATAAAAAAATAAGTTTTTCCATAATATTTGTTAAATTTGTGCATGCGTTACACATGTCTCAAAAATACGTCAATGTTACATTTGAGAAAGTTGTTTATTAGTGTTTGTAAAATAAATAGTTCTTTTTTATCATTTACTCAAGAGCATATTAAATCCCATCTTAATCTTTACTGTGTCTTTTTGTATTTTTTTCGTTAATGGGCAGGTTAATGACATGTACATTTATGTCAAAATGTAATTTATGTCAAAAATGTAATTATTCGTCATTTAATTAAGAACTGAATGTTGTTGTAAAGTCGGCGAAATTGTAAAAGAGCTTAAGCACATCGATAAGTTCATTAAATCTACAGCCGTTTTTATTAATCTTGCTAAATATAACGAAAATTTTCCGGTCTGTATACTAATACTTCCTTTTCACTTTAATATTTCCTCTCCAAATAAAATTGACAAAAAAAGGAAATTTTTAAAAGAGTTTTGTATTGAGTTTTACACTTTTTTAAGAATGGCTTTCCCTTCGATTTTAACCATCCAAATTACGTCGCTTTTGGATAATTTTAAACGTCGCCGAATTTTTTATTTTAAACATTTAACAGACATTTTCATTTTAAACTTTAAAAGACGTCGGGTTATTTAATCATTAATAATTTATTTGTAACTATTAATAGTTTCAAATAATAGCTATGGCAAGAGTACAATAAATTGAAACGCTTGTTAAACGGATTTTTCTTTTATTATAGATAGTTTTTTTTTTGGCAAAAAATAAATGTATTGCTTAGCAACAAAAAGAATCTTTAAGAATGTTCAAACTTTGTTTAAGTTCAAATACTTTGCTTTCTTCCATGCTTTATTCTTATTTACACATGTATCTATATATATTTATATGTGTGTATATTTTCGTGTATATGCGCGTGTGTGTGTGTATGTATCTATATATTTATATATGTTTTTGTGTGTGTGTATATATATATGTGTGTGTATATATATATATATATATATATATATATATATATATATATATATATATATATATATACACATATATATATATATATATATATATATAGCTTTTATACTTGGACGCACCTTTTATGCGTGTCTAACTATAACGTTTTACAATTAAAAAGCAAACAAACATATTTAGAAAACTTCGATTTTTTTTACAAAACTTTAATTCAATGTTTAGTTAACGAAAATAGGCTATCGTTTTATTATGCCGACATTTTGAGGAAAGTTCCCGTATCAATTTTTTTATGAGCGGTGCTTGTGACAAGAAATACTCTCCTCTTTAAAACATTCCGCTCTTTGCAGCTTGCTTTATTTACCAACCTACAACAAAAAGTGTTGTTCTTTTGTTTTAAAGAAAAACGTTTTGAAGATTCCGAATAATATCTAATGCACTTTTTTTTAATTAAAAAAAATTACAGAAATAAAGGCTTCTTTTTCCTGATTTGTTACAGCAGTCTGTGCGCGTTACTTCAATCGAATGCAATTATTACTACCTTTAATTATTCTGATTGATTAATGTTAGGAATGTGAATCTAGAAAAAATGAGCTAAGATTGTTTTTAAACACAAAAAAACTTCGTTTCGCTTCAAGTCACGTGTCCAATGCTTTTGATTTCTAAAATAAGTGGCAGTCAGTTAATGAAGTCATAAAAAATACAAAATTAGGAATTAAATTTAATAAGTTTTTTTTAAATTTAAAATGAATTGTTTTATAATTATATTGAAATAAAACTGTTTTATAGTATGGCCAGCGGTGAAATCTTAAAGTTTATATTAAAAAAATTTAATATAAATACTGCTCAGTAGTTTACTCTACTGACAAAAGTTTATCAAGTCACGGTTTTAGTCTGTAAAAATTTAACAATAGATTGGCATCCGTGCGGTTATTCCAAGAGCTTAACGAAAAACATTTTAAGGTTTGTCTACGAATCTGCCCTCCTTAAATACTGGTATCCGCCTCAGTTTCCGCCTTAATTATTTTTTGTCATTGAGTTTCCGTAAAATCTGTCATCGTGTACATCAACTTTCGGCAATATCAAGAACGTTTGTGTTTACATCGTCTCACAATGATTTCAGAAGGAGGCGGGCAACTCATATCTGAAACCAATTGCTGTCGGCATTATGCATACGATTTGTTTTTAACCAGCACAATAAAGCTTCATGAATAAGTTCAATAGAAGATGAATCGTTTATTGTTTAAAACAAAGAAACAATAATTTTTCGGCGAAATTAAACTTTCCGGACTTCGTAACTAACGTAAAAGGTGAATAAAAGGCCGACTTTCTTGACAAAGCGCTAAAAGTCTTTGGGTGTTTGCGTACCGAAAAATATCTTTTATTGTTACGTTTTTTGTTTTTTTTTAAATTGGTTATTGAATTAATAAAATTTGTCATTACTAGCTGTATAAATATAAACTGTTTTATTTTGTATAAAATTGATGTCTAGTTATTAACTATTCTGAATCACAACTTAGGCTAAGAGAAGTGCGTATAAGTATCGATTTAGTGTGAACTATACTATCCATAAACAAAAGGTTTTTGTGAAAAAAGTTTAAGTAGAATTCATATAGTGTAGGTGCGCAATTTTTAATTTTACTTGGACGTAAATTTCATTGTGTAAATAGTCTATTAAGTGTTATGCAAATGTTTTGCAAAGAGGAAGAATTGGGTATGACCCCTACTTCATTTTCTATGTCTTCAATACTTACAGAAAAAGAAAATATGAATGCAAAAGACATTGATGGAGTTGCGCATCAAAACGAGGAAAAAGAAAGACGCATAGACGATGACTTGCCAAAGAAAGAAGAGCTATCGAGCGAAGGAAAACATGTGCACGTCAGTTTGGATGACTCTGAGCTGTGGAAAAAATTTAAGACTTTAACAAACGAAATGATAGTTACAAAAAATGGAAGGTATTAAACATTTTCATATAGTTTAAGGTTTCCTTTTTTTAACGTTTACATATATTATTTGTAAATATATATATATATATATATACATATATATATATATTATATATATATATATATATATATATATATATATATATATATATATATATATATATATGTATGTATATATATATATATATATATTGCCTTTTTAATATATATATATATATATATATATATATATATATATATATATATATATATATATATATATATATATATATATATATATATATATATATATATATATTATATATATATATATTGCCTTTTTAAGACTGAAAGATTTTGTCAAAAACGAGAAAAAAAGTTATATAACAAAATATATAACAATGTATATATTTAATTTTTATAACTCGTTTACTAGTATTTTTATGTCACCATTCTAACTGCTATGAAAATTTTCGTTTTTCTTATCTTTAGGCGAATGTTTCCTGTATTAAAACTAAATATTCGGGGATTAGAGTCACATGCTATGTATTCTATCTTACTGGATTTTGTAGCTGTTGAAGATCACAGGTGGAAATACGTAAATGGAGAATGGGTAGCTGGTGGAAAACCAGAACCAGCTACCACTAGCTCGGTTTATATACACCCAGATTCACCAAATTTTGGTACACATTGGATGAAAAGCCCGATATCATTCACTAAAGTAAAGCTTACAAATAAAATGAACGGTGAAGGCCAGGTAAATAAATTTGTTGGTTTAAATTTATAGTAAGAAATTATGAATCTTTGTTAAAGAGCGAGCTGTAGATATTTTTATATTAAATATTTTTCACAACATTTTCATACAACATATAGCTTTTGGTTTATTCGCAATTTAAAACGAGAAAAAGCGAGAAAAAAACATAGTAAACATAGATTCTGTGTCATTTTACCGTTACGGGGTTACAATTAGGAAACTATATAGAATAAGTTCATTCTTGTAAACCGATTAAATCATAATAATATAATATAATATAATATTAAAAATAATAAATAATATAATAAGAATATAATAAGAAATCTTTATGCTTTCAAACTTGAAGTTACTGTTTTATTTTTGTCAATATATTTGAAATAACCATTTGTCTGAGGATAATTAAAATCTGTTAATTTACTTGTGTAAAAATTTAAACAAACATATTAGTGTATTAAAAAAAACTTTTGATACTTTTGCCTAACAATTATATTAAACCATAGTAATTATTGTTTACACAATTTTTTACTTTAAATTTTTTACTTTAAATCACCCTTCTAACTGAAGATAAGCCACTCGTATGAAGAACATTAAGTGTTGACCTTAATTTTTTCATTTTCAGGTCATGTTAAACTCTCTACATAAATATCAACCACGTGTGCACATTATACGAGTTGGAGCACCTGAAGGAGAACGTACAATAAGCACTCACACATTTCCCGAGACGCAATTTATTGCTGTTACAGCCTATCAAAATGAAGAGGTGAGTGTTCGATATTTTTCTAGGTAATCAACACGAGTTATATTTTTTTTATTATAAGTAACCTGCACCAGTCGCCTTTTTATAACTCGACAGGTTACTAGTTATGTAAAACCATCTACCACATAACTCAAGAATACAAAAATAAAATGAGCCAAACTTATATCTCTTCCGCACTGCAAAAGTTTATGGATGGAAGAGTTGAGGGAGGGGGAGGGAGGAGGTAAGTGGCATAAATATTTAATCTAAGTGTAACAAAGATAGGTTGAATTGTTTAAACTCGCGATTCTTTTTCGCTTGTTTGTTTTTGTTTTACAATCTAAACCTTTATTTTTTTCAGATTACTGGACTAAAAATCAAGTACAACCCGTTTGCAAAGGCGTTTTTAGATGCAAAAGAAAGGTTAGTCAAAAATTTTAAAGATTAAAAGTTAAAAATGATAAAACCAAAACTGTAAAATGTTTATGAACTAAAAATGAAAACAATTGTTTCCTAAAAAAAACGTCATTTTTAAAAACTTTAAGATAAAAGAATTAAGCAAGCAAAATTTTGTCGGTTGACCTTTCGTCTAATCTTAATTAATCAGTTAATTTTGCGACTAAAGTATTACAGAAAAGCCTTTCAAACTAAAATAATGTAACCATAGTAACAAGTTTATTTGATTTTTTTTTTCTATTGTTTTTTCTTCTAAACAAATTAGTCGGATAACCTTTTAAGTGATACTTTGAGTATCAAACACCAGTGGAGTTTATCATTTATTTAGTCGCCGAAATCCAGAAAAACACTTATTCGCTCCATAATTAGTTTTTCCATTAAGTTACATATTTAAGTTTCCTACAGTTGCTTAATCAGCAGCGGTCATCTTCTATCTTTGCTTAATCAGCGGTCATCTTCTATCTTTGTGCGCTTACTATTATATTAAAGATGTGGACGTACCATCAAGCACTTTATAAAACTTTTTACAAGAAACTGCAAAACTTTCATAATAACAACAAAATTATTTCCGTCTTTTTTTTTTTTTTTTTTTACACAGATCTGATCACAAAGATATTTTATGCGAAAGAGATGCCTTAAATCAAATTGCATCGAATTGTGAGTATTACTCAAATTTATTTATTAAAGATTTTTTTTTTTTATTCTTTTTCATTTTTCTCTTTCATAAAATGGATCTTAACTATATTTAAAGCTTATTAATTTATACTTTAGTATGATATACAACTTAACTTGTTTTTCACTTAAATACGATTTAAACTTATACTTTAGTATGGTATTCAACATTAGGTTGCTTTTTACTTAAATTCGATTTAAATTTATTATAGACGGTTATTACCCTTCTATGATGTCGCCGCTTTCAAGAGCAATAAATTGCGACAATTTACGTAGTCACCGCTCGTCACCGTATCCATCACCGTATCACCGAACCGACATACTCGGAGGTAATGATTTAATTTTATACGTGTCTTTTACAAAGCTCTTTAATCTTAAATATGTATTGCTATGTTAAAAATGTTGCGAAAATATTTTTTACATGCATTTTTAATTTAGCATGCACAAACTATTATCGTGAATCGAGTCCACCATATATGAATATGCAAAACAATACGTGGCCTCTTCATCACTTAAACTATGCTGTTCCCATGACAACGTCGTCTATGAAACACGATGAACTAATTCAACAAAACTCTATTATAAGCAATTATTCACAAAATTCCCTCGGACAATATCCAACAATAAATAAGCCTTCAATCGTCGACCCCAACATGAACCCTTGGAGTCACTCTCTAGTTTATCCCTCCAATATATAAATATTTTAAATATTTTAGATTATATATTTATTGATTATATTTTGCTTTGAAAAGCAAAATACTTCTTCTATTTATCGTCTTGCGATAGTCATTTCATTTGGCGTCAACTATGTCAAACTATTTTGCCAATTTTATATGAAGAGTAAACATAATAAAAGGTGTCTTTTGATAGGCAACACCTGTTTTATTATTTTTTGCAATTAAAGTTACTCTCTGGTATTTATTTTATTTCTATCCTATATTTATTTAATTTTTGTTTAATATATACATATATAAATATATATTTTTAATTAAAAAAAGTTTTCCTACTTTTTTGTAGCTCTTTCTTTAATCAATTAAAGTTCTTTAAATTTATTAAAAAGGAACATTGTTTACAAGAGAACTTTTAGACTGCGAACTTTGGGTTTTTATGATTTGCACAAGTTCATTTATTTTTTGTTCGCGCATATAGATAGTATAATATATATGAAGCTAAGTTATTTATTATTTTTTATATAAAAAAAATTTGTAAAGAACACTGTATTTTAAAACACGTCGAGTATTTTTATAAAACCATTGTACATTTGATTTGTCATGATAAAACCTTTAAAAATTGATTTTTGCTTTAAAAATTTTTGATTTTTGAAATCACACTTTTTCAAACATCATAATTACTTGTGTTTTCCCTTTCACTTAACTTAATTATTTTAACAATTATAATAATTTATAACAATATTATTTATAATTACTTATAATGATTTATAATAACATAAGTATATTATTATGAATATTTATGATTCCATATAAATATTTATAATAATTGAAAAAACACAACTAAATTGTATTTTTTTTAACTACCTTAAAAAAGGTAGTTAAAAATCTAAGAATTTTTTATTTAAATTGATGACACCTAACCACGGTTTTTTAAAACTTGTTTAAAACATACTTACACACATGCATACATAAATACATACATTCATACATTAAAAAATTAAAATTTTTATGAAAAATCTTAAATAATTTTTTTAAACAATGGTTATATTTTTGAACTTTTTTTTATAGAAATTTGTTTCTTTTGAAACTTAAGTTGACATGCTTTTGAAAATAAAACTTTTTATGACAATATTCAAGACCCACCAAATCTCCTAGGGCCGTGTACCACCAAATCTCCTCGGGCCGAGTAGAATCTGTAAAAGTATTTTTTAAAAGCAAACTTCTTCAATTTGGTGCTATTTTATCATATAGAACACATACTAGTCTGGAAAAACCAAGTTTAATGCTTGCAGTGATTCCAAACAAAAGTATTTAGGAGTATTAATTTTTACATATAGCAAATTATTTTAGCAAAATATCAAAATCTTATATTTCTTAAAAATAGAAGAAATAAAGTTTTTTAGGAAGTAATAAAAAAGTAATTTATAACCAGGGATAAATTAGGCAAGTTTTCTTTGCTATTTTACTTGCCTTGTAACTTTGTTATTAAGAATTATGCTTAATAAAAATGTTAATGTTTTTCAAATTTATGAATTGATAAAATACTTAGTGTAATAAAAAATTGCATTTATCACCCCCTGCGATAACTGCAAACATTAAAATTGAGTTCGTGATAACTGCCAAAAGCTGCTTAAAAAATTGAATTCAAGTTGCATAAAAATCTTATTGACAGAGCAATTTAATTTTGATTCAAATCATATTTTGCAAAATTCTCGAAATAATCTAAAATATAAATTTGCAAGAGTGGAAAATAAATGACACAAAAAAAAAATGATACGTGTTCATCGTCTAGCTTAAGAGCAACATTAACGCAACAACATATCCATTTGCGACATTAACGCAACAATAACGCAAAAAGTTGAAAAAAAATGCATAAAATATTTATCATCATTGGCTGAAGTTCTTTTGCACTGCTGAAAAAAGACACAAAATTTAAAAACTTTGTTTTCAAATTTGGAACTGAGCAAAATGCATCATAAGTTATTGGTACAAAAGTCATCTTAAGATGCCATAAAATTCAGTCAACCCACTGTGACAAACAATTTACAGTAACTTCAGATAACAGATTTTTGTTGAACTAAATCTTTGTCTTTAAGTATATTTTTATACAAAATTATGAAAAATTTCATAACTCTTAAAGGTTTCATCTTGTCATAAAGTTTTCAACCTTGTGAGTAAAATTCAATCACAATAAAGCTTGTATTACTTTGCAAAAACGATTGCATTTTGTAAATATTTTCAACAAAATCGTATTTCTCTAAATACAACTAGAAACATTTTTTTGGTAGAACTTTAAAGTTTATGGAAATGGTAAATTTTTTTGTGTAAGTGTGGCCAGAGATTAGCTTGGAAAATTAAAGTAATCTAAAGAGAGATTTAGGCGTTCTTTAAAATATGAAAGTATGTAGGTCTTAGTAATAAAAAGAATAGTAAACAAGAAAAGCAAATTTTACAAAACTTTATCATTTTGAGGAAAGAAGAAACTTTACACGGTTATAATTTTAAAATATTAAAAATTTTTTAGACAAAAATTAAAAAAAGTTGATAAACTTATATTTAATATAACATTTTTTAAAAATATTTATTAACTTATTGTCCTCACATTTGAGGTGGAGATATTTAAATGATTCGGAGAGTGCAACGAGGGTGTTTGTATTTGAATTTCTTCAATTTTAATAGAGATTGTATAATCCTTATACATATTGAAGAAAGTTTATAAATATCCCAAAGCAAGTACCCAGGCAGCATGTATTATTGAGCACATTTTGTTTTAGTTATTACAAATGTAATTGGTCTAAAACATTTGATTTATTTTATTCATTTATTTATTTATCTGCCAAGTCTAAAATTTACAATTGTAATTTATAAAAAATGATTACATGATCGAAGCTAAAAGAAGACAAACTTTTTATCAGCAAGCCCCGAAAAATGCATCATTAGTGGGTTTTGTCATAATAGTTAATAGATGTAAATATAGTTTGAACCTTTCAATAAATATATCTCTGTAGCATTGATATAAAAAAAATGTGTGTGTATATATATATATATATATATATATATATATATATATATATATATATATATATACATATATATATATATGTATATATGTATATATATATATATATATATATATATACATATATATATATATATACATATATATATATATATATACATATATATATATATATATATATATATATATATATATATATATATATATATATATATATATATATATATATGTATGTATGTATATATATACATATATATATATATATATATATACATATATATAAATATATATATATATAAATATATATATATATATATACATATATATACATATATGTATATATATATATATATATATATATATATATATATATATATATATATATATATATATATATATATACATATACATATATATATATATATATATATATATATATATATATATACATATATATATATATATATATATATATATATATATATATATATATATATATATATATATATATATATATATATATATATATATATCATAGCATTTAAATACATTTAGTACAAAGAATAAAGGTTAAGAATTGTTTTTTAAATGATAGGAAACAGAACTTGGAAATATTAAAATAACAAAATAATATTTAAGAAAAAATAAAAAGATCTAAAAAATCTAAAAAAAAACATTTCAATTTATAGTTTTTGTTATTTGATTAAATCTATTTATATAATGTTTTTTTATCTCTAATTTAATAAAAGCAAACAAACAGTAAAAAGCATAAAGTAAAGGATAAATAAACAACACAAAAATAAAAAAAGCGTTTACAAAGAGACTATCGTTTAAAATAATACAATGAATGTATTCATAATAAAAACTAATTGACTATTACTTTTATTGTGTTTTAATTCAAAAAGGGTTTTTAGAAGAAAATTTAATTTATTTTCATTTACCAAAAGTAGTGGCCTGAGTTTTGTTTTGAACAGGTTAAGAGAAATATTTTTCTGTCCATTATTCAATAAAGTGTTCCACAACTCAGGGCTTTACATTTGAAATTTAGTAGCAGAGTAGTAAGTTTTTGATTGGTTGTAATTGTATTTTGAAATCTGGTAGGATATATGTGATTCATTTTTTCAAAAAGTGAACTAAGTAAGATCGTTGTTATTTTTTTATCAAATTTGAACATGAAGATAGGAATATTTGCAGCGGCCGTAGTGTAGTGGTTAGAATGCTTGCTTATAAGCAAGAGATCCAGGGGTTCGAAGCGAACTCTGGGCATATTTCGCGCCATCGGTAAGAAAGGAGGCGTGAATTTCCTAGTAAAATGCTCTTCCGCTGTGTTCTGTGCCAAGACCGTTCTTCGGGCACCTCAAACAAAAGTTTATATATATATATATATATATATATATATATATATATATATATATATATATATATATATATATATATATATATATATATATATATAAAGATGTAGTTCATATAGATTTAGAACATTAAGTTCATTAAATAGAGTTTGTAAATGTGAGAAACGATTTACGTTTGAGACTATCCTACTTGTTTTTGTTTACTTAACAAATTTTTTTATTTACTTTTGTTGCGTTCGTTTTCCACTAAGCAACGTTTGCGTAATTTAATTGACAATGAATAAGAGAAAAGTTCAAATTTTTCAAACGAGATTTAATAACCTCTTAGATTTATTAGATTATACCTACATATTTTGATATTTTATCTTCAACTACGCCTATGTGGTCTTTCTATGTTACATATTCATCTAGAACCTAAAAAATTTATTGTATGCTTTCCTGTTAATATCTTATCGGGTTTGCAGTTGAGACACATTCAATATGGAGTTCGGCTACTTACTTATTAGTAATAATAAGAAAACTTATAACATAATTAAGAATAAAAATGTTATATCTTTTTATTTATATTTTTATAACTCCAAAAGTTTTATTCTTTGTGTTTTTTTAATCTAGATTTTTTTTTTATTTGCCATATTTCATTTACCTCTTTTATAAAACATATTTTATAATCGATGTGAAAGAAATTTTATACATTTTATTATTTGTGAACTAGCAAATATGATACTCGATGGAATCATTAAAAAAAAAAACTATTAACAGAAACATTAAAATAATACTCTCAATGTTTAAAACAACTTCAAAATCTTCAGTCATCATCAAAGAAGCTTTGTTTGTTATTATTATTTTTTATTTAGTCATTTAGGTGTTCCAAAAATGTCTCATCACCCAATTCCTAATTGTCTTATCGTCAAGCACTTTTGTTCGGTTTATTCCAGTAAGCGTGTAAAATGATCTAAAGTGCCAAAGAGTATGGATAGAGTTAAGATAACTTAATAAAAATGAAAATAAAATTTAGAAAAGTCTAAATTTTAAAGAAAGGCTACTATTTAATTTTTTAAAAATCTGTTATTTAATAGATTAAAAAATATATATATACATATAAAAAAATTTATTAACTAACAAATGTTTTAAAATTAAATTATGACAAAAACAAAAAAAAAGTTGTAATCGAGTTAAAAAAAAGATCCTTCAAGGTTTTTTTTATTTTAGTTTATTTTATGTTTTTGTTTATTTTATGTTTGCTTTTTTAGTTTTAACATTCTCTTGCAGAAGAAGCTTAAATCGAAATCTTGGAAAACTTTCAAACATTCTAGAAGAACTATAAACTTATTTAATATCATTTCATACTTTGTAATTTGATTAAATGATTAAATTAATATATTTTTGTAGTAATTATTTTTCTCGGCTAAAATAACTTCGCAAAAGTGTTAAACGAAAAAACGCGGTGAAGGGATTCTAAACATCAAAATATCGGTCGTAATATGAGGAATATTTTAGGCGTCTCTGATGGCGGTAAAAATTTAACAAGTGAAGTTGTAAACAAACAAACAAAGAGTATTAAACTAAGCCGTTGTTATCTACCACCTGATGGCGCAAAAGAAATCATACGCAAACAACATACATGAATTTTGTTTTTTTAAATGATTTTCTGTTTACAATTTGTTCTACTAATTTTCCAATTGTTGAAAAAGAAAAAAACATAAAAACCTAAAAAAGTCGACGTACTACAAATGGTTTTAGATCATACATCCTAAGGCATAAGTTTTAAATAAAATATTTGGAAGAAAAAAAGCACAATAAAAATCACCAGAGGAGAGAATATAGAAACACTAAAACAATTTATTTAAAATGATATGTAAGTTGTTGGAAAAACATAACTTTGAATAACTTAATAGACTGAAAAAAGATACCTAACGCACCTGGCAAATAATAGAAAAAAGCCTAAGGGAAAAAGTGAAAATAAAATAATAAAAATGGAAAATGAAAATCATGCTTAGCTTTCCCGGCGGAAATTTTTTTTAATGTTTGATGGATTGATGATCGATGATTTGACACTTTGAGGTATTATTAAGCACCAGCGAACTGCGCTTTATCTACTTAATCTATTTATTTAAACATTAAATATGAAAATTTACAAATTGTAAATTTTATATTGTCAATAATATATAAGATAACTCACATAAATAAGATTAGGTGTCACTCATAAAGTTAAAAACTTGTCAATGGAGTGACACTTAAAAAACAACAAAAAGAAAATAAAAAAAACTATAAATAAAACAGATAAAGAATTTAAAATAAGAAAAAAAGAGGAAAAAAAATATTAAAAAAATAAAAAATAAAAAAAAAGGAAAGAAATGAAAATAAAGCACTAATAGATAAAGATAATATTAATAATTGCAATAATAATATAATAAAAAAAATAATAATATTAATAAGAATGTGAAAAATAAAGGACTGCTGCTCGACAACCGCATTAAATAGAACAATGTCTTTGAGATAAACATATTTTTGGATGTGTTTTTTCTCTTCTACAGCTTAGAAGGTGTAAAAATAAACACTCGAGGAACTAAACTGTCAAATGATATTGCATCAACTAAACATGTGAAATGACATTGGTTTGGATTTGTTGAAATTGCTGTCTTATTCATTGTAAGTGATTGCTGCTGAGGTTCACTTGAAAAAAATAAAATAAAACAATTTTGGAGTGTGAGTGTTATGAAAACGTTAGTGAGCGAATTGAAGATTGTAAAAACTGACGTCCGTTTTAAAACTGACGTCAGTTTTAAATTTGCAGATCCATTAATCTCTAGATACGAAAATTGTAAAAACATTATATTGGTATCCAATTTAAAAAAAAATAAAAACCACACCTTTTTTTCGCTTTGAAATAAAATATTTAATTTTATGCTACAAAATTACTTGATCAAATATTTGCAACAAAAGAAAATAGTCTCCGACAAAAATTAGATGGTTGTGCTAAAGGCAAGCAAGGAGAACCATCACAATCAACATCATTTTTTACCAATATCCAAGAAGCTCTTAATTAAAATTAATCAACAGCTAAAAAGACCTTTACTGATTGGTTAAAAGAAGCAACTGGTGTAAAATCTGAGCAATTTCGAAATTAGAAAATTATTTAAAAATTATTTAAGTACTAAGTAATGAAAAAATTTATAACGAGTAATAAATTAAAATAAATAATATTGAAAAAACAAATACAATTGTTTAATTATCAACTTGATAGTATATATATATATATATATATATATATATATATATATATATATATATATATATATATATATATATATATATATATATATATATATATATATATATATATATATATATATATATATATATATATATATATATATATATATATATATATATATATATATATATATATATTACTTCAACGGAATTTTTTCTCGATTTATCCCGACTCTATTTTTTCTCAATTTTTTATCCTTTGGTACCCACCTAAATAAAATTTTGAACAAAATTTAAAAATTAATATTTTAAGAACTAAAAGTTTTATTATTTAATATTTCAACTGTTAATATGTTTGTATATGTAGTTTATAAATATATTAAAACAATTATTTCAAACACCATATTTAGCAATATTATAAAGTTTTTTTGAAAGATGTTTTATTTGAGTAAGGGAAATTTCTTTATTCATCTTTGAATAGCAATATCTAATTCTTGCTTCAAGCTCTTCCGAACTCTCAGCTTTCCAATTATTCTCGTTTTAAATCACCCCAAATGTTTTTGATTGGTCTTGCTTCTGGAACGTAAGCTGGGTTTATATCATTGGATACAACTTTTTTTCAATTTTAAAAAGTCGATGACCAACTTTGCGTAATGTGATCGAGCTAGATCAGGCCAGAAGATAAACTCAATGTCTTTTTTTATAATATTCTGATACAAGTAAAGTGATGGAAGTAAAGTTTTATCTAGTATATCTTTATAAGTGTAGTTGTTGATTGCCTGCTTACTGTGAAGAATATAAAAAAGGCTTATTCCACGGGGGCTGATGCAACAAGAAACTAAGAGCTTGTCCACTTACTTTTTACGCAAATTGAATCTTACTTCGTTAGAACATTGAGAAGGATCAGCGGCATAAAACCTATCATTACCAGCTAATGCGCTATTGTTTAAGGTAAATTAGCTTTCATTATCCATAGCAAAATCCAAGTTTTTATAATTTTTGTACAATTTACGACATTTAGGATGCATAGCTTTCTTCTGCTGATGGTTACGATCTGGACAATTTGCTTTTTTGAAAGTTCGAATGTTTTTACTTAGGAAATTCGAGTTTGACTGCAGTTAAAAACTTGAGCTACTTTCTTTTGGGAGCACCCTGATTTATTTTCAAAAAATGCAGCAATCTTTGGAATATTTTCTTTAGTAGACCTTTTACGATACGACCACTGCCAATTTTTCTTTTTAGAGATCCATTCTCCAATTTTACGATTTTATATTAAGCAGTTGATCTGGGTAAACCCCGTTCCATAAACTGCTTAGCAACAAACGCTTTACCTTTTTCTCGATTTTTTTGGAAAAAATTTCCATCATTTTTTCGAGGTCCTTTACTTTGACCATTTTATTTTCAATATTTAAATAATATTTTTAACTTAATTAAATTAAATTTAAATAGATTATAAAATCCTCTTTCAAATAAGTATAAAGGTTTTTTGCGTGCATGAAATAAACTACATAATAAATGCAATTAAAATTTGTCCGAAATTTTATTTATAGGGTGTTAAATGCTAAACGAATGGTACGTTTAACGAATGGTTCGAACGTATTCGTTTTTAGCTAATAGTATTAGTTCAAATGCATCCTCTCGCAAACCATATATAAATGTATTATTGTAAAATAGATATTTAATATATAATATAAAGTTTCAAATATTACTATTAATATTATTGTTATTACTATTATTACTATTTATTATTATTATTAATACTATTTATTATTATTACTATTATTTCTTATTATTATTATTGTTGTTATAATTAGTATTAGTTATTTTTACTATTTTCATCATTGTCTATAACGTTACGTTGTATATTGAGGCATTTACTTTATATTAGCATTTGTACTAATATAAATTATTTTGAAATGTTTTGAAATTATTTTAAAATATCATAACTTATTTTAAAATATGCTTGATTTGATTTGATTTAAATATATGTACAACAAATAAAAAAAGCATATATATAGTTATTTGTTTCAAATCCGACTGATACTAATAAATTACTTTTTTAATAAGAATTTTATTAAAATAATTTTTGGTATAGTATTTATATATATTTGATTTTGATTTTTTTAAAGTAACCAAATGGGTTATAATCCTAAAGAATAAAAATCAAAAAAGATTTAGCATTTTTTGGTATATCTCAAAAAAAAAAAAAAAAAAAAAAAAAAAAAATTTTATACTGAAAAAAGTTTTTCATACTGCAGTATGATCAATTTGTTTGCACGATTCCGCAAAAAGCGAAACTTTGATTTTTTAAGTTTTTCCATGACTTGGAAAAATTGAAATATTCTGTAAGTTTAATGATAGCATGCTTAGTCGAGCAATTATTTCGAAAAAAATTGATTTTAATATAAAAATTTGTTTAACGTCACGCATGAACAAAAACTTTCCCGACATGCGTGACGTTAAACAAATTTTTATATTAAAATCAATTTTTTTCGAAATAATTGCTCGACTAAGCATGCTATCATTGAACTTACAGAATATTTTAATTTTTAGACCCTGCAGGGTCTAAAAATAGTGAAACTGATATGATCACATTTTTATATTAATTACTTTGCATTAATATTGGTATAATGACTTTAATTATAAAATCTAATCCTAGATTGTTAATTCTAATCTTTGATTGTTTTCAACAAGTTTATTTTTAGTTTAAGTTTAATTTAATGTTACTTGATTGCAACACTTAAATAGATAAAAAAAATTGATTAATAGTTCTGAGCAAAATTGACTATACGCATAAAATGGTGATCCCAAAACAACCGCGAGAAAATCTGCACAATCTACCTCGTTATAAAAAAAAAGATTTTTTAATAGAGAAACGCACATATGACCCTAGGTATAAGAGGTAGGTATAAGACTTGATGGTATAAGACTTGATGGCCTCATGAAAAACTTTATCTATTAAAAAACCTGGACTAAGAGGCAATTTATTGAGGAACTAACGGTCCTGTCATAGAGCACCGCGGAAGTGCATTTAACCAGGAAGTTCATGCCTCCTTCCTTACCGTGACGAAAATATGTCCAAGGCTCGTTTCGAAGCTGGATCTCCTGCTTATAAAGCAAGCGCTCTAACCACTGCGCCACTGCCGCATTTAATACTTAAGTAACAAATAATATA